AACTTTGATCGTGCATTTATTAGATCTTTTTTACAAATTTACAACAAGTACATGAGAAAAGAAAACTCAATCTCTAAGAATATTTCTTCAAGAAGAGAGGTTCCTAGAGATAAAAAAAAAATATCAACTCTGCATTCTAATTGGATTAAAAGTTTGGTTAATTTTTTGGCCGCACTGTTGGTAAATCCGAAACAGTGCCTCGATTAGAACTCCGAAATCTTATTCCGTATAAAAGCCACCTAAGATTATTAATTCATATCTTTCTTTGATCAAATGAGACAGTAACAATTGAATTTCTACATTAACAATTGAATTTATTTGTCAGTATTGACGATCGCAGTGTTGTGTATCTCTGAATTATCTACTGGATTATGTTATGTACGTAGATTTGTTATTGAATTTTCCCATTAGATTCTTTTCCTATTCCAATATCCTTATTTGATACAGTATTTGATTCGTGTATTAATCATGCAATTAAGAAGCTCCTTATAGATTATTTTTCATTATTACAATAATAGTTTATCAGTTGTGCTGCGGTTTTGAGCAAAAAAGTCCATGGTATTTATAAAGTATTTTGTCCTGAAAATGAGCATTAATTAGTTATTTTAAAACGTTAATTAATTTGCAGTGAGTGAAATATTTAATTACTAATTGTCAAAATTTGTCATTAAAATGTCGACGAACCAACACCTATGAAATGAACTTGTTGGTCGTTGACAACTGCAAAATGAGTGATATCATCTATATTCTATATTATTACTTGCAAAGTTGAAATGGCTTAATTGATACTATAAATTAATTATGTCCTTACATATGTGTTCAGTGTTCTCTATCCTTATTAGTCAAACGTGAAAGATTCGATAAGGAAAATAGATTTGATGACGATATATAATCCGTAAAATGTGGTAAAAACTGAAATAAAATAATGGGTTTTCATGTTGAAAATGAAATTGCATCAATAAGTACCGTTTTTTTGCATTGTATATGCGTGAACCACAAAACCAGCATTGAATTAAGGTTGTTATTACACGATGGTAGGGTCGTTTTGTCAAACCGAATCTACTAATGATGTCTGAAAATCCCCAGTTAGCTAGTAACCCCCAGCTATATTTATTACTTAAAACACTATAATGTCACATTAGTTAATTCTTACTATAAGTTGGTCTATAGTCTATAGACTGTAGCTAGGTCTTCATTTCACAAGTAAACTTCGAGAAAACGTGATTATTAAATTCCAAGGTTAATTAAATAGACCAATCAACAAGACCCCATTTTAAATATATACACACATGATACATTGCAAACACATCCATTAACATCTATGCATTAACCTCTCAGTTTTATATGTTCGTTTAATTTGGCTGAGAGAGAGAGAAGATTTACTCATGGAAACATCATTAACTTACGAGATCTTTGATCACTATCAAAACGTCGTCGTTTCGGGTTCCGACGACGTGACGTTTCAGAAAAATCCCTTTTCATGCTCTACCTCTTATGCAACGCCACTAATCTCTCGCTCAATAGCAGAAAAACGATCTCATTGGACGGAATACTTATCTTATCTGCGAGCACGAGGTGGTTCCGGTGAAGAACCGCCGCGTAAGAGGAGGAGGAGAGCGAGAAATGAAAAGAAGATAGAAGAGAAAGAGAAGCAAAGGATGAATCACATTGCCGTCGAGCGTAACCGGAGAAGACAGATGAATCATTTTCTCTCTATCCTCAAATCGATGATGCCTCCCTCGTATTCTCAACGTGTGAGTTTCTTCTATATCTCTTAATTTAATTAATTTCTTTTACTAAAATCCATATATATATATATATATATATATCATTTAGCTGATTCAGCAATGCTAATTGACCAAAACAAAAATAAAGCAATTTTGATATGTACTCGGTGAGAAATTATTTTACCAATGGGTGAACTTTATCCCGATATATAGAGTATTTTTCCCTTTTAATCATTCAACTCTATATTCATCTAACAATACAAATCAAACTTATATTTATTTTTTTGTTTAACAGTTAATAAATTTCATTTTGCCTGCTAATAATTTGCTTTGTGGTATCATTGAATGCTACTAAAAATTTGCAGCCCATATCAATTATAGAGCTTTTTGTTGTTGTTTATTATTTATTAATAGAGTGACCAAGCATCAATCATAGAAGGGACCATTAACTATTTAAAGAAGCAAGAACGACTTCTTCAGTCACTCGAAGCCCAATTAAAAGCCACAGACCCGAATCAAACACCAAACATATTCTCCGACTTCTTCATCTTCCTTCAATTCTCCACCGCCACCGCCTCCGCTGACGTGGAGGTTACGATGGTGGAAAGACATGCCAACATTAAAGTGTTTACAAAGACAAGACCAAAATTGATCTTCAATATTATCAAGAAGTTTCACTCTTTAGGTTTAAGTACTCTTCATCTCAACCTCACAACTTCCAAAGACATGTCTCTCTTCACTTTTAGCGTCAAGGTATACATTACGTTCTTCCTCTCTCTTTTGGGAAAACAATTTTATAATATTGATGATATATAAAATTTGGTTAGTTAACATGTACTATATTTAGGTCTATTGTTTATCTAATTATGTTTAAATATAATTGATTTTCTGGATTAGGTAGAGGAAGATTGTCAATTAACGGCTACAGGTAGTGAGGTCGCAAGTGCAGTGCATGAAGTCGTAAGAAGAATTCACAAGGAAAATTGCATATAAACTAACTTTGAAATTCTATTTTCTATCAATTATCTCTTGTCTATCCAATGTACGTATGTACATAAATAATCAAGTGCCCATATGTCAACAAGTTTTTATAGGCTTAAAATTAGTTTTGTTTTACAAAAATGTCATTTTGTATGCAACAACTGTACCAAAAGTTCAGTTTTGACTTAATTACTAACTAAAAAAATTATTTACTGTACTTATAAGGGGGTAAATGTAAAAAATTAAGAGAAAGTAGGCGAATTTATGATTTTTCAAAGTTCATGTACTTTTCTATCGATTATATAAGAGCTAAGTTTAAGCCCAATAAGGTTCAAATTATGGGCGCTCTTCTCAGCCTCTCAGGCAATTAATGGGCCTTTTAAAGTTATCTCACATTTAGACCAGGTTAATCGAGATGATTGAGATAATTAGCAGTGAACTCGGTATAGAAAGGTCGACTCGATTTACGAGCCTCTTTCTGCGATTAAACGACACTCTTACAGATTTTCTCCAATATCAGATATTTCAATAAAATATATTTGGTAAAAGTAAAAAGATTAAAAGACAACGAATAAAGGTATTTAGTACAGTTTTATCTGAGGGGACAGACGGTATATTTCATACATTTGGTTTTTCTAAAATTATTATGCAATTGATCACATTCATGTCGTGATCAACTTTCTAGAAGATCAACAAAAAATACATCAAGAATCTGGTGGAATTGGTTGCTTTCATAGGATAAACAGCTCATCAACCAAACTCCGTATATAAGATTATATATTCTTCATTTAAAGAAACACCACACCTCTTTTAACTTAGGCTTTTCCGTTTTAATATCTTAGATGGATGCATACGAAATCATCACGTTACTATATCACTATACAAAGAACTCTGCTTTACTAATATATTCACATTACCAAAAAGTCTCAACTCCAAGAACCTTTTTTCTTTATTTTCCACCTTCCTTTATGCTTTCTCTTTTGTTTATTATACATCAAAAAATGCTTCTGTTTTTTTTTTCTTTTTCTTGAACCAATGGTGTGATTCTGGAGCACTTGCAAAAGAAAAACCTATTTTTGAAATATACATATTTGCATAATCTTTTGTTCTCAAGGAAAAAAATAAAAGAGATGCTATATGTGAAGAAGGGGTTAAATGTAAAGAAAATAGTCTTAGCAAACTTGTACAATTATAAATGATTAAATTTATATTGTGATTATATCAAAATCATAATCGAAACGTATACCAAATTATTATGTCAAATTTGATTGATGTATAAAATGATACAGAAATTACTAAACTATGTAGATAAATATAAATTACTAAAATACAATACTACATATTGTAGTAAATAGGCAAAATCGTTACAGAGACAGACAGCTATCTCATCAAAGCTCTGTCGCCTTTCCCATTACCCGATTTTAAAATATAATTTTTCAGTTGTGAATATCCTTTGTACACGACATACTCTTTCTTTGTATGATATTAAATTACACTAAAAGTCTAAAACATATACATGTTGTGTACAACTATTAATCTATTGATGTATATTTATACATACAACATTTACATCCTCAGTGTCATTGATGTTAAATATGATGGGACTTTAATCATAAGCATTAGCCAGCTTTAACGAGACCTTAAAATGCCAGAGTTATTAATTGATATATTAACATTGGTTATGTTGTGTATATTATTAAAATCGTTTATTTAAAAGGTAACAACTTGAAAACACACATAACTGTAAATCATAATTAAATTTTCATGTATTGTTTTCACTTTCACAGCCACTATATTTCACTGAATGTTAGATTTGTTTAACAAATTTCTATTTATTTTTGTTCATTTACATCTGACATATTCTACTGTATTTGTTTTCGGATATCGACACAACGTATCACTACCATAAGGTCCATAAACTAGTAGATAAACTATATTTTTCTAAACTAAAGTTATACTTGCTATTTTTATGTTATTAAATATATCTTCTATATAATATTGAAAATAGTTTCACAGTTTGAGAAGAGTCTCATTTATAATTGTCTATAATCCTATACGTTTCATTACCTACACTCGAATTCAAGCTCGACTCTCCACAATATGTTATCTAAATAAATAGCAACAGAAATAGATAAATTTACGAACATGAATGACACTATATATATATATATATAACTTGTGTTACTGATTCACATTGTACAAAAATGCTGACCCCACATTGACACTAATTTAAAATCTTGTGGGTTAAAGCAAATCAATTTGCATGGCCAACTACTGGACCGACTTTTATGCAATTTTGTATATATAATATTTATTTACGTGTATCTGCTGTATATGTAACACTCATGACCCATGTCTATATTGTATTAAAATGAATGGTTGGTCCAGTGTATTAATACTACGATTGATTATGACATTTTAATTGGAAAATATAAACTATACTGTAGAGTGTCCATTTGGACCTTCTTTTAATCTCTTTTTTACTATATTTTTAAAACATCAAAAATTCAAGTGAAAACGAAGTAGTTAATGCATATATATATTACTCCATGATATATCAATTAAGTTAAATTTACGGTTAATAATTTTATTAATGTATGTATCAAATTAATTTGTAGTTTTCACGATTCTTTCATTTTAAAGTATATTACTAATCGAAATTTGGATTTTTAATGATTTTTCACAAAACTATGAAAGTTAGTACATACGCCAAAGTACAGGATAATTAATTAATATGTAAAAATCGATGCCGGCTCCAAAGTAGCCGAGCTGAAAACCCCATGGACTCGTCAAGATCCTGGATCAGACTGTCACGAATAAACCGGCTACAGCCGGTGTCTAACACTAACCATGGTAAGTTGTTTTTGCATTAATTTAGGACTATTCTTTTTAAATTAAAAAATCCCTTACGAAATTGTGGAAATAACTCAAGATATCTCCAACACTATCCCTAGGGTTAAGCTGTCGTCTTATTTAAAACCCGGAGAAGGACTGTGAGGCCATCTCTCTCTCTCTCTCTCTCTCCCTTCTCTTTTGCTCTCTGTTATAAATTTCGGATTTCTCGGGAAAACAAAAATACACGACTGTGAAATCTCCCTCTCGATTAAAAGTTTAATTTTTTTCCTTGGAGTGTACTAAATGAGTCTTTCTTGGATAATTAGTAACCTTTGATCAATTCTCTGCTTCCATATTGGATGTATCGTAGTCACAGAGCAAAGATCCTTATTTGGAGAGGAAGAGATAGTACACGTATTGGTCGTAGATAGATCCTGATCGTTCATTACTATTACTCAAACGATTTAGGCCTCGATTTAACCATTAAACATAAAATTTCTTTCCTTTTTCCCTGCTTAAGTTAGTTCTCTATCTAAATAGCTCCGACCAAACAAGATGAAGAGATCACGTGGAAGCTCCGATTCTTTATCCGGTTTCTTACCAATTTGCCACTCTGCAACAGGTAAAAAAAAAAAAAAGACTCTTATCGTAATATAACACATATACATACACTTATTTATTTGAATATTCCTGTTAGTTATATATAATGGTCGATCTAGTTAAACCTAAGTTTTGAATTGCAGTTCTGCATATCTTGATGTTGATTAGTGATGACATACTAATGAAATGCAGAATTAGCTAGCGGTACAAACAAGCCGTGTACATATATAATTATTTGGTATTTAAAATTTTGTAAAGACGTGTTTTCTGACATTGCATATTTATCGAGACATTATCCTGACAAGGTTTTGAAATGTAATGTAATCAAACTAATCATTCATGATGACATCATAAATATTCCATATTTAATAGTACCAATTATCCGTTCAGATCGATTAAAGATACCTTTTTTTTATAATGTATTAACGTCATAAATGATTTTATCAGACAAACAAATAAGTCCAAGACCAACAACCACCGGCTTTCTCTATTCCGGCGCCGGAGACTACTCGCCGATGTTCGACGGTCTAGAAGATGACGGAAGCCTAGAAGACATCGGCGTCAGACACGCGTCGGCGGCGGCGGAGAAAAAGCGGCGGTTGAGTGCAGAGCAAGTGAAAGCGTTAGAGAAGAATTTCGAGATTGATAACAAGTTAGAGCCGGAGAGGAAAGTGAAGCTAGCTCAAGAGCTTGGGCTGCAACCGCGCCAAGTGGCGATCTGGTTTCAGAACCGCCGTGCTCGATGGAAGACAAAGCAGCTCGAACGTGATTACGGCGTTCTCAAGTCAAACTTTGACGCACTTAAACGCAGCCGCGACTCGCTTCAACGTGATAATGATTCCCTCTTTGCAGAGGTATATTTTTTTTTTGTTCTAAAAATTAAACGTCTTCTATTTCGTGTGAATAAAACTGGACGTTTAGGCACCCAAAAACACAGGTTAAACGTAATTAATTCTAACTAAACACATCATTTGCTCGGTTAATAGAAGAAACGAACGAATAAGACATTACAATATCGTTTTCAATAAATTAAAATTAATCAGCATCGAAAACACTTTTGACCGTCCAATTAAGGCGTTGAGTGTTTGTTTACGTTTGTTTTTTTTTCTCAACAAGGTTTAATGTTTACGTTTGAGTTATATCGATCGTAGACAAATACAAACGGGGAAAAAAATACTTGAACAAATTTTGTGTTTTTATAACGTTGATAACTTTATAATGAGCTCAAAATTTCATATTTGTTAATTAACTAGACAATTTGAAATAAAAATAACTAAATTATCAAATAAAATTTAGAGATAACTTATTTTTGTAAAAAGTCAGAGATAACTTATGATTTAAATTATTACATTTCTGCAGATTAAAGAGCTAAGAGCAAAAGTTAACGTTGAAGGGCCCGGCGGGAGCAATGGTAACACGTCCATAGAAGAAGACGGCATTGCAAAAAGGGTGGAAGCGATGGTGAATCAGAGTAATAAGGAAGTCTTACAGCTAAGCCACCGTCCTCCGCCGCCAAATATTCCTACGGAAGTTCCGACATCGGAGCTCACATACGAGATGTTTAACATTTTTCCACGTACCGAAAGCTTCAGGGAAGATCCTGCCGATAGTAGCGACTCAAGCGCGGTTTTGAACGAAGAATATAGTCCCACAAGGGCTGAAGCGGCGGCGGCCACGGCGGTGGAAATGTCGACGATGGGATGTTTTAGCCAATTCGTGAAGATGGAAGAGCATGAAGATCTTTTTAGTGGAGAGGAAGCTTGCAAGTTGTTTGCGGACAATGAGCAGTGGTATTGCTCCGGTCAGTGGAATTCGTAAGGCGAGAGAGATAATATTGAGGAAAAAATTGAAAACTTAGGAAAATATTGAGGAACATTTGTGAAAATATGCTGTAATGGAAATGGGGTTGGAAAATTGAATTACCCAAAATGTTGGGGTCTTAGTTGATAAGGGAGGAAAATGAAGCGAGAGGATTAAAACCGAGAGATCACGTGCGGTTTCATGCACGTGCAGCCGTAATCCTTACAAGGTTAAAGATAGAGGACGAAGAAGTCTGCAAAAAAAAACTATGTCAAGGTGAAATCTTTTTTTCGACGTTTATACTATTATTACTTTGAATAATTGCGTAGTTGAATTGAATGTAATGATAATAATATCTTTATGTTCCAAAGGCTTTTAGAGACTGTGAGCACACGAAGCTACGACTATTCTCTTTTGTTTTTCTCATCGTCCGTTAATGACTATTCACAACTCAAAAAGATTTTACAGTCTTGCAAATTTGTAGTAGTCGTTTACAGAACTCTGTCTTCACTGGTTAATTTGAAAGTTAACATGATACAATCGCTAATAAGAACTGATAATTTTAAGATTAGGAGTTGACGAGCTGTTTAAACTTTGACATATCTAATTTTATAAGATATGAAGTACCTAATATAACGACTTTACAAAAAAAAAGATCAAATCAAACTTAAATATAGTTACCAACATTTGAAGAGGTCAAACTATTTTTTTTTTGTTTGTTTCACTATATAATTAATTTTTCAAAGGGCATTGGTTTATTGCTGAGTTTGTAGACAGTGTATAAATTCATATTGAAATGTTTTGAAATATTTTAGTTTAAGGTTAACCATAGTCTATACAGGGCCGTGGCTAAATTTTTTTTTAACATCTTGAAAAGCTTATTTATTTTTACCAAAAATATAAAATATTATAATTTGAAAGGTATATATATACTTTTAAAGCTTAAAAATAGATATTTTCATATTACAGCATAGTTTCTAAATTTTTTTTTATATAAAAAATAGTTAAAAATAAAATTAAAATATCAAAACAATACGAAAATATTAAAAAAAAAGTAGTATAAGATGTTAAATCTCTAACTGTGGTATTTATATATTTTTCTCTCTTAATTTTTTTTGTGTTTTTGGAAATTTGTTTAGGGTTGGGCACGGCTCTGAGTCTATACTTATATCATATTCATACATGTTTAGTTTTAGCATTCGTGTTATCATTTATAAACATATCATTATTTTAGATGGTGAGTCTGGTGGCAACATACTTTCGACATATTAATCTGTGTGGATTAATTTATTTTTTGGTCAGTATATAACCTTTTTATTTTCTTTTTGCGACGGACAAAATATTATCGAAACATAACGCCTTGTTTCGAATGGATTCGAAGCAACGTTCAACATTCGAATCATTCGATCGCGCATAATTTTCTTTTTCATTGTCTTTTGAAAATTTATAAGTAAAGACATGGAGATAAAACATGAAAAGCCGAGCCACCTACTTGGATCTCCCTAAATATCCGTGTTTGTTTCTAGCCGTTCCTTTTACTCCTTTTGTTACTTGCTTTTTACAACCTAAAGCCTTTTTCTTCTTCTTAATTTGCCTTTTTGCTTCAAATACTGAATACTATATTTTTTTAAAAAAAAAAAAATTCAATATATGACCATTTACAATTTTTATTTATTTGTAAGTGGAACCGTTAACTAGTAACCAAGGGTCACTGTTTTAGCACTAAATTCATGTGGTGGGGGGAGGGGGGGTATATTCACTCAGCTCAGTCTTGTTCGACGATGTTTTCTGAATTGATACAGTAGTATTTTATATATCTGAAATTGATAAGCATGGATTTTAGAAATTATTAACAATTTCGCGACGACAAACAAAAAAAAATTACAATTTAGTAAAATAGCAAATAAAAAATGAAAAATTCAGACGAGCGGTAGTGGAGAGATGCACATGGGATTCTGTTCAACGAGTTTCAGAAAATATTTTGTTTAGTAAGGTTTTATTTCCATGCGGCGATCCGTATCTTGATCACTGAATTTCAAGACGTGTCAGCCGTACACGTGTTGTTCTCGATGTTGGATTTAGAGAAGGCCAAAAACCCCAAAAGCTGTGGTAGGGCCCGCATATAGCCAGTAGACCCCACGAGACTTTTGCGCTATCCCTTTCAGACAAAGACATTGGTGGAGAGGCATGTGGTGTGGGACCCTTTTTACATCGAACACGTCACTTTAACGCCGTCGCGTCACCGTTTATATCACACGCATATCTCGCAGACTCTTCTCTTTTCATGTTCTTTTTTTTCCCCCGGTAATGGTATATATGCACGTGTATATATATTATCGCTCATCATTTACCGCCGTCAAAAAGTTATTTCCTGGTCAACAAAAAAATAAAATACAATTGCTTGATTACAATTTACAATAGCCAGTAATTCTTTTGTCAATCTTTACAGTATAAAAAGAGTAATGAAAAAAACTCATTTGTTAAAATAAGTGGAGAAAGATGCTGGCGAACAAGGAAAGGAGCAACAAAGATAAAATTTGGGTAACAACAATATTGGTCTGTATTGTTTAAGCGGTATCTACATCTTTCGGTAGAACTATAACTTTAAAAAAAAAAAAAAAAGTTAACCAACTTCACATGCATAAAATAACATAATATGAAAGTGATACTTTTTTCTGTATATTTTAAACACTTTAATTAAAATATTAATTGAACCTAACAGTGATTATGTAATAAGTAGAGAGATTTGGTTATCTGAGATGGAAAATTGTAAGTGTAAGTGCAATACTCTATAAGAATTTTATTATTCTAATCTTCTTGGGATTAAAAGAATTTATTCTGTATGGTTATAAACTATCCATAATTATAAACTAGAGATCAGATCATTAAGTAAAACGGGATTAGAATTACAGTAAAACCTCTATAAATTAATAATGTCGGAATCATGGTATTTTATTAATTTATCGTGATATTAATTAATCTATAAATTAATAATTATTAATTTATAAAAAAAAATTACATGAAACATATAATTTTCTATAAATATATTTGGAAAAATGTTATAGTTTAAAATTTTAACTTTAACAAATTTCATAATATAAATTATGATTAACAATCATAACTATCGTAATAAAACAGTTTTTCATACCATATTGGATTGTCCATGTAAAAATATATATGTTTGTAAGTATAAATTTTTTTAAAAATTATGGCTACTATCTGTATAAAATTAAAGATAACTCTACAATATATTTAAAAATATTTACAGATAAAAGAATTAATTATCAAATTAAAAAATCATAAATTTTGAATGAATATCGTAAAACACCAATAAGAACTACTTATATAATAATTAGAGATATAAAATTCAATAAAATTTCAACATTAACTAAAAGCAAACATATTAGTTATATTTTAGAATATTATATATATATATTTTTTCATAAATTTATATGATTATTAATTTATACTTTTGTTGGGACCATATATTTACATAGGAGTTTCAAAAAATTATTATTTTATTATCTTATCAAATTTGATGGATTTTTACATTGGTCCGACTTGAAAATATTAAAATTTATTAATTTATAGTGATTATTAATTTATCAAGTATTAATTTATAAAGATTTGGCTGTAATAATTTATATAAGAAGGAGTATAATTCCCTTAAAGAAATAGTTGTTCACGTCGACTTGCACTACCAATTTATTTTAACACAATATATACGCACGCAATCATAAAGAGAAAATGAAATAAGTAAGAATCTTAACTATAATTGGCTGTCTGATAACTGATATAATTAGATTAAGAAGCCAAGGGAATAATTGATCATTATCTAAGACTTGGGGTGACGCTAATATTGTACTCCCACCTGGAGTAGTTTTTAGGCATATTTGTGTTTTTTTTTTGTTTGGGGTGGGGGGGTGAGAAACGTCGTTTGTTCTTAATAGCATTTATTTTCCCCTATATATTTATTTTTCTAGTTTGTTTAATTAAAGATAGAGAATGCATGCATGCATAACTCTTAATTAATGATATGAAACCAAAATATAATTTTAGTTTTTTGATAAAAGAGTATATATAATAGATCGAAGCTTGCTGTATACGTTATATATTATTTTCGTAGATGTCAATTTTTTTTTTTTTAAAAAAGGGTTCATTAGATGGCTGGATTCGAACATTCTATAATATTTTGTTTTTTTTCTATAATATTTTGATATTTTGTAGCTCCTTAGTTAACCGATAAAGAATTTGTAGCGCAAAACATATGGACTCACGTAAAGCCGACTTCAATTAATCTCGAGCCATATGACAAACCAATACCATATAATATAACAATTCTGTTCCACCAGCAGATGTTTTTACCCAACTCAAGTCCAGACACCATAACATATTAACATATACTCCATTCTCCAGTTACAATTTACTGTGTCAGTAGCAGAAAAAGGATCTTCTTGCATTGTTGGACGCGTACTCCTAGGCATATCTTTGTATAATATAAAAGAGATCTGCTCTTGTGCTTCTAAGTTCCAATTAATAATACTAGTCCAGCAAATAGATACTATAATATGTTTTCTTAATGACAATCAACGGCGAAGCATTTAACTCGCTTTTCTATTTCTTTGATTATAAGCAACCAATACGAACAAATAAACAGATTAGTTATGGTATTGGTATACACGGTTTATGTAAAGAAATATTAAAAATAAAATAGTAGTAATAAATAAGTAGATGGACAGATTCTAATTTTGGTCGAGAATTATGTGTAATGCCAACTTGATGCTGCCCAAGTTCCGAACCATGCATGTGCACTTATACCCGCAGGATATATGCTGTCTCCACATTTCTATTTTAAAATATAGTCTATCAGGAAAAATATCTAAGAGAGCTGGAGTTACCGAGGACAGCGGGAAATTTAACTGAAGATCCCATTTGTGAAAAAAACGGAAGTTCCACTTATCTATGTCACCCCGATCGACTAATAAGTTGCTGATATTGCCGTAGTTTTTGTTTTTTTCGATTTGGATTTTGCGAGACCAACCTTTTTTTTTTGTTGGGTCTGCACTTACAAATTTTCAAACATTTCGTAAATTTTTTCATATTGTTGCATTCAAGACCAAAAACGCAGTATCTAAAACCATAACTCTAAAATAATTTTTCATATGGTTGGATACAAGATCAAGAACGCCGTATCTAAAACTTTCAAGATCAAGAACGCCGTACTAAAACCAAAACTTTAAAATAAATGTTAAATGATCTATATTTTTGTTTTGTTTTTTGAACGTTAGTCTTTTACGTCTTGTTTGTTGTTGTTGTTGCCAAAAACATATTAGTCGTTTAAGAATATGTGGAAACAAATGTAATTTTTGTTAATAAAGAGCAAAATACTCGCCATAACGGGACGTCGTGAGGTCCACAAAGAAAAACAAGATCGGCTTTTGTCATGTCACGAAGTAGGTAGGACCCACATTCATCCCCCCCATTTTACTCGTTAAGCCAATTTTGACTCTTCCTGTCACGTAAGCAGCAGTAACCTCTTCGCCCTTTCCATATGCCTCGGAGTTCATAAAGCGACTGTACGTGTGACTCACTCACGCGCGCGCGCGCGTAAGCCAACATCCAATTCGGTTCTTCTTTGATAGATACATCGAGCCGGTCTCAGTCCGTATCGGCTAATATTTACCAATTTTTTCCTGTATTGATTGGATTTTAAACCGAAAGCGAAAAGTAATTTTGGTATATTCCACCTTCTACATGAATTGGCCACCTTATCATTGCCAGATGTACATTTTATAACAGTGTCTAATTATTCGTTGAGTAATCAACATGTCAGCTAAACCCTTTTAACCCATGAAAGTCAAAACTGAGGTATATCAATCAGATCCAAAAGCACACAGACCAATAAATCCAAAACAGGTTGTCTTCTCTATGGATTGCATATTCAGCTTGCACAACCATGCACGATATTTTATATTTGGTTTGTCAGAAATCTCTCATAGATTTATGGTTTCAATTGGTTTCTTCTATTGAGTCATGGTTCATCACCACTTCTTGTTCCCCCCCCCCCCCAGCACCCCCTTTAAATAGGTGGTATGTTGTAGCATCGTAATTTCAGTTAAACAATAAAAAAAAAAAACAGTTAAAAAAAATCAAATTAAGGGTTGTTAATGCATGAGATCTAATACATAAAGTACATATGTACTAAATTGTTTGCTGCTTGTCTCTCAGCTGAATAACATCTACAACACTCGTGTTGTACCTTGGCTAATAGTTAGTGTGCTTAGTATTTTTAATTACATTTTGGTATAAATAACTCCGGCCTTGGAAGTAGTTGGTTAGCGCGTAGGTCTCATAGATACTGAGTGATCAATGAGGTCAAGAGTTCGAAATGTCTCTCTGTCCAAACTTATTTTAGATTCATTTTTTTTTACTAATGGGCCTCTCTCTAGTTGACCATAAACCCAACTTGCTTCTGAGCCATGTTTTACGTGAGCCGCGACTTATGTTTTGATAAGTTTCATACTACAATTTCTGTGCCCATTAATATCGCAAGACGAATGAAATTATACTCGTTCCCTGTATATATATATTTTTCCAACAGTTTACCACTACAAAATTCGTTTTTTTTTTCACCCAGTCGATTATACAATCTATAAATAATTTTCTATTGCAATTGTATTCATAAGCATTTAAAAAAAAGTATTCTTAACCAACAAGCGATAATGAAAGAAAAAAGCGAATTTTGTGTCAATAAGAAATACAAACTTGATTAATTTATAAACGGAAACAAACGTTAACGTAGAAGGTAAATTTCCTTACGCAAAGTTTCAAACATATTTATTGATTTTTTATGCTTCATCGAAGCCACGAGATCCATGGAACACGCATTAGAGATGTTAATAAAAAAAAAACTAAAAACCAATTATTTAATGTTTAGGAAGGTTCATCGAATAAATATAGTTTTTCCGGATTAGGTAGTAACAAGAGGATCTACTCTGTAATCTGGTCCTAAAAAATTCACTAATTCCCATGATCATGAACCGTGCAAACTTCTAGAATTTTGTATCCTCCAAAAATTCATTCCCCATAAACTGTGGTCGCCCTTTTTGACTACATCTCACGTGCGCACGAATTGAAGTTTACGGCGCACCATTCTTCCAAGAAACGAAAATAAAAATGTACACAGACATACATCAAAATTGCGTAAATAAATACGGAAAAATAAAATAAAATCTTTAACAAAAAAAAAATAAAAAAAAATAGGGAAACAATAAAAAGAGAGTCGAATGCGCACGAGTAGGTTATTTGGTTACGCGTCACAAGCGAGTCCGAGAATGAGTCCACCGGCCACGGTCACCGTCAGATGAGACCTAACAAGTGGGTCCCAGAGCCATGTTGAGTGTTCGTTTAAATCACAACCGTCCATCGCTATCACCCCCTTCAATTGCGTTTCTTTTGTTGACCGGACCCTCCTCTTCGCGTCTACATTGTGAATTGTGTCAAAGTGCAAGTGTGAACCGAAACAAGCGAGTTTTAGTAGTGTCACGAGGCTGTGACTTGTCACTCACATCACCCATTCTATGATCTTCATTAACTAACTGCAGCAAAATCTATGGACATTCCGGTTTTGTTTTTCAATAAAATGAAATTTACAAAAAATTTGATTGAAAAAAGTTTAAACGTCAAAACACCTGTAATTTATTTTGAACAACTTAAATAAAAATAAAAATGAGAAACTTTAAAGATAGTAGTAGATCACAAATTAAAAATATCATCTAAAGCACATTTTTATCAAAGTTAAGAAATCTATATTAAAAAATGTAAGCTATATTAAAAAGTAAGCAAATCAAAAATTTTGAAAGAATAAACTAAATATCAATTTAGATGAGATTTTTTCTTAAATTGAGATGATCAGGTAAATTGAAGAAAATAAGATTTTAATCAATTAAGAAATCAAAATTAAACTAAATTTATGTGGAGAAGATCTACTACTTTTTAATTCTTCTTTTTTTTTTTGACATTTTCAGTATTATACAGAGAACAGAATGTTTAACTTTATCAGAATAACAATCATTTTTTTATATATTGACGTAAAAAGAAAAACAGTCATTTTACGTATAAGTGGTCCTTTACACGTCAAAGCAGTGTCTTCTGCGAAAAAAGCCCTGTCACTAGAGCGAAACCTTAATGAACTTTCTTTGGTTATACCGACGTTCAAAGTACACGTGGCAACAATACACTCGTAGGTACGCACGTGCACGTGCGCGTGGGTGTATATGTATATATATTACAATGTAAGACCTCTCAAGAGTAATCAAAGTGGTAAAAAAGAAGAAGATGGAATGCAGAAAACACAACCACCAAGGGAACAGAGGAGTATGCCCTTCTTGTTTAAGGGATAAACTCTCTCGCTTACCCAATACGACTTCGTATTACGTCCTAAACCGATCTGACCCTTCTTCTTCCTCATCTACAACCGTTTCGTCTCCTCCGTCGTGGCCGGCGGCGGTTAAGGATCACCACCGGAGAGCAGGTTCAATGTCGATGTCGTTCGCTGTGAGGGAAGCGTTGAGTGGTAATCTGATTGAAGCTTTAGGTGGAGGATTGAAGAAGAGCAGATCTATGGCTCATGTTCCCAAGGATTCGTATATCGTTAGGGATTCGAAGAAGAAGAAGAGTAAGACGACCACGACGACGGAGAAATTGAAATCCACGACGGCGAAGAAGACTGGGTTTTGGACGAAGTTGCTTCATCTCAAAGGGAAAGGCGGTGGAGCCGACGCCGGAGGATTGGTTACGTCACGGCAAAGAGTTTATTAAATGACCGAATTTAGTTTTTTCCTTTTTTTTTTTCCTGAAATTTTATTTTTGATGTGTACAGTTACAGTCTTACAGATAACAGAAGGTCAAATGGAGGAAAAAATAAATGAATAATTGAAAATAGAGACTGGTTTGTATTGTACTAGGATTTCTCACAAATCGAAATTTGACCAAAGATACGTAAAGAGCTCTGAAATTTCCTGGTATCTGACCAACCAATTACTCATTTTGATATTTTTATTTTTTATTTTTTATTCATTTTGTTACAGGATGATTTTGATCATATCCTTTGCAAGCCACCTCATGACTCATTCATGAAATAGTCCATGACGTTATAAAATTGAAGCAGGAAACATTCAACATAAAATCTATGAAATAATCAAACTCGTTCAGATTTTGAGAACGTAATTAGTTTTGAAGATAATGAGAAATATAAAAGTTAGTATTAAATGTTTAATGGCATATAATTCAATTGTTTGGAAATGAAATGTTGGTGTATAAGATAAGATTCAAGAGTATAATAACACATGTAATAACTGTAAATAAACATATAAGACCTACAACACAAAAAAAGGCCCTCTCCCAACTCCAAATGTCCTGTTATGAAATTAGTAACATTGAAATTAGCGTTTTTTTTTCATCAGTGCCTTCTTGTTTCTATACTAAGGTGAACCAAATCTAGTGCTTTCTTAGATTTCTGCCACCCAGCTTTACATCAGTCTTTTATCCATTACCTATGAACATCATCTTCATAGTCAACTTCATCATCATCATCGAGGTAGTGTCCGTGTTCTACTGACCGGTTTTTCAGTCTCTGGAATATCTCATCTAGAGACTGTGGCGTTGATGAAGTCACCACTCTTGTGCTTGTGCTTGTTATTGTTGTTGTTTCTGGGCCTTGTCTTAGTGGAAGAAACTTTTTGGTGGCTACATTGTCCTTAAAACTCTGGATTCCTAGTTTCATGTTTCGCCATGTCGAAGCAAAACGAGAAGATGGCTCTCCTGATCCTTCACCATTACTTGGACCCGAGCTGTCTGTTTCGAGTAAGGACACTTTCGCTGAAGCCATCTTCTCCGGCTTTGTGACGGAAGATGGCGAGTGTCTATTCTGTTGTTCTCTAATGGCTGCATATTTGTTAGTGATTGCTTCTCTTGCTGATCCGTATTTACGGGATATATCGTCTCTCGATGAACTTCCTTTCAATGTATCTAAGTCATAGCTCGACGACATCTTCATTTCAACTGAAGAATTTTCCTGCCAAAAAAAAGATCAAAAACCAATATCAGGCTTTGGAACAGGGTCAAAATCATTCAAATCGACACTAACTTACAGGGAAGTTGCTTCCTGGTTCAATGTCAACATCGTTGAAGTTCCTTGCTAATGGAAGAACATGCTCGCCGACTTTTTGTCCTTCTTCAAGCCACGTTCGTTCTTAAAGATTATAAAAAAAGGGAAGATGAATTAGATAAAAGCACGAGTTATCACTCAAAGCTCAATGTAGAAAAAGATAAAATTTATACTTTTTACCTTTCTTCAAGATCATTAACCCCGAGGGATCAAAACCGTCCATATCGTCGGTCTCTGTTTGAAATTTAAATCTTTTCCAGCTACCGAAGTAATTAAATATGCGATCAAAGAAATTGCTTGCAACTAGCAGTGTGTAGATAACCATTATGAGAGGATAGATTTCATTGAATCGTTGTCCAAAGACCGGGACAGCGTCATCGATTCTACCCATTTTCTGCAGAACCAAATGAAAATTTCCATAAAGAAACCCAGTTATAACATGACTCCTTGAGACTTCTAAGACCAAGAAATGCGCAAAGGGAGAGATAATAGTATACCTTCTCAAATATAGTCTCGGAATGAAGTTGGATGAGATTTATAAAATTGTAAGATATTGGTGGCGCATATCGAGCAATCATCCTAAAAAGATACATATAAACCATTTATAAGCATCTAAGTTTATTTCTTTTTATCTTTTTTTTTTTCTAAAAAGAGGATATAATTATATAAATCATCACTTACGAGCAAATCATTAGTAGATTAACAGAACTTGTTTGTCGAGGAGTCAAGGAATATATCATTAGCATCCCAATTTTGAAGAGTGAATAGTATGTACAGATGCACATATACACCAAAGGCACAAAAGCAAATGCCTGAAAGCAACGTGATCAGGATTTAAGAGCAGAGTTAAAAGTTAAACAATTAGCTGGTATTAGGGCAACACGAGATCATGCCACTCCATTTAAGCGAAAATGGAACCAAAATGTAAAGTACAACGTACCTGAACTAGCAGTTCATCGGATTTGACGGAGCTTATAAGGATTGAGAAGAGGGACAAGTCCAGCTTACTAAGAAGCAGAGTTGCCTCAGCTAAGAGAATTGCAGCTGACATAATCCCCGTAACTACTGCCAACACCATCTGAATCTGTTTCTTCAATATACACCTCCACATAAATTCTGCCGATAGCAACAATGTGCAAAAGTATTGTCACGCCAGACTTTTCAACCGATAAATAATCCAATCAGCAACTCTATTCGACGACGTTTTTCATTCTCTTTTTTTTTTTTACAAAGTGGACTGAATTTTTCTACTTCAGTAACACGTTCAACAGGTTCAGAAAGGGAGTGCGTACAAAGTATATTTAGAGTTTACCTAATGTATCAAGAAGATTCCCCAATTTTCCGCTTCGACTGGCTCTGAAGCTCGAGATATATTTCCTGAAAAATGGCGCAACAAAGATATTTAAGGTGAAGGGCATGATATTAATGGGGGAGAGGATTATATATTGTATATGAGAGATGAAAAGACAGATAAGCTGACCATCCAGTTGAATCACGACGTTCATAGTTCTTCATTGAGTCTTCAAGAACAAGGGCCTCCGTAACATAGGTCAGATACTCACTGCAAATAGCCATAGTGACTTATGTCTACAGATTTCTAAATTATGAAGCAGTAACCTAGTCTACAAAATGGAATGGGTTTTCCTCCTAAAGTTAAGACAGGGACAATAACAAGCTCTTCATACCTTTTATATCTATAATATTCATCCTTAGCATTTCGAAGGTGCCGCCTTAACGTTGCCATCGATTTCTCATCTGTATCATAATCCATATCGTTTTCACCCAATTGACCACCTTGAGGCTTAAATGATGGGTCTTCCCTGAACTGGTATAGAAAATCATCATTAAAATTGGAGAACTGCCACTGTATGTTCGCAATATAAGGATAAGGGAAAGTAGAGGTTACCATTTTAGCCAGCATAGCATCTATAACATTCATGTATGGTCTCATAGGATCACGCTTGGACATTTGAGTGGAAGTCGCTTGAGCAACCTATCACGGCAAATGTTATGAAGTAATAAACAGTCTGACATGCAAACAACACGTGTCTAAGTTTCTTGAGGAGCAGAATGCTAAAATCTTAAGGTACTTAATCACGTGAAGAGAAACTACTTTGTACACAAGTCTGCTAACGGAATATTTCCCTAGATCTTAAATAGCACCAATGAGGAAGTCATGATCTCAGGTGATATAAATGAAGTTCTTAATCAAGTTTGAAGCAGAGAGGGCATATCTGAGCAGATGAGAACACAAAGTTGTTTAACCCAAATAATACTTACTACAATCGCATTTGAAAGTTCTTGATGGGCATTATCAAGTTTCACAGCAATTTTGGCAATTTTGTGTGAGAGAACTTTTTGACGGGTGGTCCAATCTGCATTCCTCCAGAGGGTCTTAGGAATTTCGCTCAATCCAAAGCCAAGGAGAAATGCACCAGTGACCAGCCCAAAAGTATTTGAGCATGCCATAGCATAACCCAGAATGCTTCCTTTCCTGTTAACATACAAGAACGCCTCAGTCATATAGTTCAGGAACGAATGTAACTTCTACCCCAGGAAAAATAAGAAAGATTTTCTAAACCGAGTCTGCGATATATTGCTAGATGATGAGTGATTGGTTGCAACACTTGGCAGTGATACCATGCATTTTTCAAGAGAAGTGCTAATGACAAGATGGGAGATACGAAGCCAATATATAAGAAGCATATTCTTTCATGAAGGGAGAACTTACCAGTTCCTGTGCATCATGATGAGAAGGATAAGACCGAGAAGGCCAATGAATCCCAGTACTAGATAAAAAACTAAGTTGACATGCACGCTAGTTTTCAACCTCTCTGACACGGTAAAGTCTCCAGCATCTTCGAAACCCTGAATAAGGGGCACCACAGCCCTGCTTAGAGGTAACATAGTTTAATATATGAGGTAATGCACACCTATTAGCTACAAAACAAAGTAGATGGATTGTTAGGAGTGCGGCTTAAGTACTGCCAAGTGCCGTCAAAACAAAATTACATCCTAAAGATAACAGCCAAATCAAAGGCAAAATTCCAATGATTTAGACGTATATATAAGTTTCTTTGATCAAATCAAAAGGACACATCCTGTCATGTAAACTTAGGAACTATTTTCAAACGAAATATGGTTTGCATTTCATCAAAGGAAGGACACATTATACTGATCTGCAAGTATTGGGGAAAAACCACTGAAGGATTGGACAATTCCATACCAGGTGAGCAGAAACGTACTCCAGTATGACCAACTCCACAAGAAGGAAATGGCCCCGTTCTCAGGATGATTAGGTGGGAGAGATAGTGTCTGCAGAAGAGAAGAACACGAATGAAGCAAACCAATTTCAAATGCTCATAGTTCGCCTAGTCTGGTTAAAATCCAAACCAAACAAAAGCAACCAAAATCTAGCTACCATTGTTGACTCCCAGCTCAACTAGACTTCATGCCTATCCAAACAACCCTACGTATGATCCTAAGAAACTTAGAGGCATCAAAACAAAACCCACGATTTCAATTCCAAATCAAGCAAGACCACTCCTATAGGTTTCCCATTCACCCAGATGCAAACTTTTTAGCTCGTAACCCGAAAAACGCAATCGCAGTGTATGTAAACAATCCTTTTTAACAAAACAAATTGGGGAAAAGAGAATGTTACCGTCCAAATGTCGGCAGGAGCGAGGATGATAACGGAGACGGAGCAGAACCAGGTGTATCCGACGGTGATAAGAACGTACCGAGGAATCTCCGGTCCGGCAAAGTATCGGAGCGTGAAGACAACTAATCCTAGGGTTAGAGGCAACGAGATCAGATAGAAAACCCACATCTCTCTCGACGCAGGGGACTCAATTTAGGGGAACAATCGAGCTTCAAAGGTATGGATTACGCCTATCAGGAGGATCGCTCGACTCGTCTCTGTGTACGTGCGCGTGAGAGAAACGCGCCAGTTGAAGAGAAGGTCTCTCTGTTTGTTTTCGTTTCCGTTTCACTTTCCTTCTCTTTTTCTTCGTCCGATCTCGGTTCGGTTCATTGTGGATGAAGAAAAGAAACAGCTTTCACGCTCAATTGTTTTTTTTTTCTTTTTTTTTTCTTCTAAATTAAACGTAAATATTCAACTTCATTATGGTTGGGTTGGGGCTTTGAAAGAAGAATTAGTCCGATTAATAGTAAAATAACATATCCAGTTAACAATAAAAATTGATTTTTCTTTCTGCAACTCTTTTTTTTTAATGTAGACAACCTGAAATTTTTGCGTTACGAAAGATACATCAAATAATCCATTTAATACTCTGATAATATAAATTGGATGAAAATGCTTGACTCTTGCGCAGACACACGAAAGTATTTGAGATCATGCTACGCATTTTCGAAGAAAAGCAGAATTGAAAATAACAGAGTTTCTCATTTTTATGTTTAGTGCTTTCAGCATTTTTTTTTTTTTTGGGCAACGTGCTTTCAGCTTTAATTAACAAAAAAAAAAACTCTGTTATTTATTTAATCGAAGAAAACTGGGCTCTGGGAGGTAGAAACTGGGCCGTGCGCTATTGAGATAGTCAGAAACTGGGCCTGGTTAAAAACCAACATATAATTTGATCAATTAAATATGGGCCGTGCGATCTATAGATCTGTAACACATGAGTAACAAATTTTTGTTTTAAGCTAACCATTACCATAAAAAATAATAATTTTGTTGTGATGGACTGCATGGGAAAATCCAGCCAAGATTCTACCTGAGTTCGGTTTTGATATAGACATATAGTATGGTTTTGATGCTATTTATGACCGACTCTCCTTTCACCTGATAAATACATAACAGCATTTTCAGTTATGAATTCTCGAAAATAACAATGTGTTGTTTGGTTAACAGAAAAAATATCGGCTGCACTTATATTAAATTTAATGTGTTTAATTAGTCAGAAAGTTTATCGTTTAGCTTTAAATCGTGAAAGTCTGACAGACAAGTTTTTTTTTGGTAAAAGTCTGACAGACAAGTTACCTAATAGAAATAACCGCCAGAAGAAATGTCACGTTATTCACGTTTACAAACGTGTTTCCAAGTCAGCTGATCTACTGGATTTAATGTCTGAGAAACTCTACTATTTCATAAATGTTTTGTTCGGGTCTATGCCAATTCCAAACCATATAAAACAAAGTTTTTGCCCACGTATATTTGACAAGGATCATCTTCATACGCATTCCCACTTTGCCCCTTAATTTTTTAATCTACCTATGAAAAAAATTAGGATGTAAACGGTTACCACTTAGGCACTTACCATTATAAAAATCAATTAAAAAACATAAGTAGAATCAGTCGAACTTGTTTTCTTTTTTTTTTTGTTTTTTTACAAAAGAAGAATATTTTCGTCAGCTAATTCTCTCCCAAAGTTTCTCTAAAAATTTGACTAAGTCTTTTATTTTTCAACAGAGTAAATACTGTATAGAAGTACTTTTTTCTCTCTACTTAAGCGAGAAATGTTTTATTCAGCCCACTTTGATTCGGATAATTTGTACAACCATTTCCACCCATAATTATTCTACCGTTCATCAAAGCACTGCAGATTCGATTAGTTTCTAATCTTTTTATAGTCTGAGATTCCCAATAAAATCTCTGCACTATTTTCAGATTTTTTAAAAATGCATCGACCGCATAGCACCGATTTATGCGTAAGAGAGCATCGACCGTCTCTATCCGTCAATATGCCTTTCCCAAGATCCAACGGCAAAGTGATAGAGAGCCGACAAGATCTCGACACGTAAATATACATCTGGTGGTTCACGTGTATCACCGCCATGTCCTGCAACCAAGAATCCTATACCGTCAAGTATCATCCCACTATTTTTCAAGATGCTTATAAGTCACTATTTTAAGCACTAAGTTACGAAAAACAATAATTAGAAACGGACGACCTCATTTAACTGATCAGTGTGGACTAAAACCATATAGTGTATACTGAACCGAAGTACTGTAAAAACAAAAATTGATTGATTAAGATTTGATGTCAATACGACGAAATTATACCCAATTGTATGTATCAAATCAAACTCAATAATATTTGATTGCATTCGCCTTTGATAGAACCAACAAAACCAGACTAAAACGTGGATTGAACAATATAATTGCGAAACATTCCTTGGTCATAAATGTATTATTAAATAACTGGCTATCGACCGTATAAATTTATCTATACTTAGAAAAATGCCATTAATAAAAAAATACCACTATTAATTTTGGGCTCATCCATGTTTTATCTTAGGAAATAAAATAATATATTTGTAGGCAATTAAAACATAATAAACTATACTTTTTTTTTTTTTTGTCGTAAACATAATAAACTATACAAATAGCGGCCATTGTAAATTGTTGGCAATTAAAACATAATAAACTTTACAAATAGCGGCCATTGTAAAGTTCTATTATATAACAGCGTTTGTATTTGATTCTCTTTCTTAAAGATATCTTAAGAATACGGAGAGAAAAAAAAAAGAGAAAGAGAGAGAGAGAGAGAGATATATGTCGTCGTCGGCGGTGGAGTTTGTGGGGGAGCAACGGAGATGCGGCGACGATGATAACGGCGGAGAGACAGTAGAGAACGGCGCGCTTGACCATTTTCTTCTACGAACCTCCTCTGAACCAACGGCTCCGACAATTTCTCTCTCGACGGAAACTTTTCTTAGAGCAGCAACGTTACTGAAGGACAAGGTGCGTAAGATAAAAACGTGACGCCCTAGATGGCTAACCTAAGCCCCATATTGGCTCATGTGTATCTCTCGGTCGATCTTTGAATAGGTTGTGGAGGCCACGTGGAAAGGCGGTGTTCCGGGTCCGAGTCTTGTGTTGGATCCGACTGTATACACAGGCTTACTCGGCACAGCTTTCACTTGCTTGAAGTCGTACGAGGTCACGAGGAACCGTCAGGATCTGCTAACTTGCGCCGAGATAATCGAAACGTGTGCAAACGTTGCACGTGCCACAACCAGGTGAAAATATCCTCGTCACTAAGTTATACTTAGCCTAGTAGGATCTAACTTCGTCTTCGACCAAAACGAAAAATGCTATCTATTAGTTTAGGAAATGTCCTGAAAAAAAAAATTGAATAGTTGGATTTGAGTATTTAGCAAGTATTAGTTATAATTAACAAAATCATGAATAAATAATATGTAAATTCGCGATTTGTGGAATAAATATCTACAAACCCATCTAAATAAAGTTGTCGTTGGCTATCTAATTATTGGATTTATTATGTTTCATGAGCAGGCACGTGACGTTTTTATGTGGAAGAGGAGGAGTTTATGCACTTGGTGCAATCGTAGCCAATTACAGAGGGGACCAGTCAAAGCGTGACCTCTTCCTCGCTCTGTTTCTTGAGGTTCCGATCAGTTTGATTCTAACCACTTTACGTTGCTTTTGGTCTTCACCATATTCAGACAAAAGTAGTTTTGAGTATTCTGATCCCACGTGACAATAATTAACCTTAACTGCAAGATCAGATTATCAGTGTGAAACAAATGATCTGTTATAATATAGACTAATATTGATCTAAATTATTCTTATATTTTTAGAAACTTCTTTTTGTTTAATTAACACTTAAACTACAAGAAACGGTATGTTTTCTTATAGTGAAATCTTAAATTTGCTGTTTCTTAACAAAAAAGCTAGCAGAAGAGAGAGAGTTACCAGCAGGACCAGAGGAAGGAGGATTTGGGATGTCATATGACCTTCTCTACGGAAGAGCGGGTTTCCTTTGGGCTGCTTTGTTCCTAAACCGATATCTCGGTGAAGGCACTGTTCCTGACCATCTCTTATCACCCATTATCGCAGCCATCTTATCCGGTGGACGAGCTGGAGCCGCAGATCATCAAGCTTGCCCTCTGTTATACAGGCAAACAAGCAATCGACTCTCAAAATTCGTTCTTTCCAAGAATTATCTCAAGAGTGGAAATTTGTTTATCTTTCGTTTTTGTTTGTGGTTTATAGGTTTCACGGGACGCGATTTTGGGGTGCGGCTAATGGATTGGCTGGAATCTTGCACGTCTTGTTACATTTTCCTTTATCGGAAGATGATGTGGAAGATGTGCAAGGGACGTTGAGGTACATGATGAGTAATAGGTTTCCGAACAGCGGAAATTACCCGTGCAGCGAAGGGAATCCGAGAGATAAGCTGGTCCAATGGGCTCACGGAGCTACAGGCATGGCCATTACTTTGGCTAAAGCATCTCAGGTGTTTCCAAAGGAAGGGGATTTTCGCGAAGCAGCCATTGAAGCAGGAGAAGTCGTGTGGAAGAGTGGCTTGGTGAAGAAGGTAGGTTTAGCTGATGGAGTTGCCGGTAATGCCTACGCTTTCTTATCGCTTTATCGGTTAACTGGAGATGTTGTATACGAAGAGAGAGCAAAAGCGTTCGCGAGTTACTTGTGTTGTGATGCCAGAGATCTCGTGAATGCGACAATGGAAGAAGCGGAACATGATTATTCGCTTTTCCGTGGACTTGCTGGACCAGTATGTCTCTGGTTTGATCTTGTGTCTCCTGTAGATTCTAAATTTCCTGGTTATGAGATATAATTCGATTCCAGGTAGTTTAAATGGATATCTTTGTGAAAACGTGTTACTAAAATTGATCTTAAATGGTTTTCATTTTCTGAAAATGCTTTGAAACTGAGACATGCTTCAGTGCATATATATCATAAACCAACAATTCGTGCCTTTTTAAGTAATAATACAATGTTGGCAATAATACAATCATGGATCAAACAGTGTTGACAGTGTCGGTAAGACAACGGAGAATGCAACCGAGACCAGCTCTCTCTGTCAGTTTCTCGTGAATCTTCAAACATTGATCGCATGTGGGTCGGTCCCCAGTAGAAAGGCCTCTGTACAGGTACCTGTTCCACACCATTCAAGCAAACAGAAGAAGATTTAACACTTCCTCATAAAGCTAAGCTAAATGGCCTAATAACAAATGTAACATTCCCTCAAAAGCACATTCGATTAGATAGAACTTCTCATCATACAAACCAATCTATTTGCAGAGATTGCAGAAACAAATTCAAACCATGTTATATCATGACCAACTTCCACGACATTGTTTGGTCAAGCCTAATCTATCACTCACCAATGCGATGTAGACAAGAAAACGACCTATACTGATTCCCGTAAGAGCAAAATATTAGAGACAAGAAACTTACTTCATGAGAATATCGTAATACTCAACATCAAGAGCATTCAGCATTCCGTCAATATCCTTTATCACCATTATAGCTCTGTGCACAACTATCCAATTAGCTGACTGCAATTTCACCGGTTGAAAGCAACCAGCTGTTATAAATAAATCACATCATCTTTTGGTAATGAACAAACCATTAGGGAGATTAGTAATGCAGAGGAAACAGAGACCTTGCAACGTTCATCGCGAGTTTTTGGAGGTGAACCTTCAAGAGCCGTTTTCAGAGCTTCGACATGTTTGAACCTGCACAAACCAAGTAACTATCTGAGAAGGAAAAAAAGAAAAAACCGGAACTTGAGGGTTTTAACTACAAGGTAAGTACTGTTTGAGTAAGCTTTCAATCTTCCTCGATTTGGTTTCGATCCTCGTGATTATTGCCTCTGCATTGTCAGCCTCAACGAATTCTGCTGCCCCAGCCATTGGATCTCTCTCTCTCTCTCTCTCCACTCTCCAGCGAAATAATCTAAAACCAAATCAACTCATTTCATTTCTTCATTCAAATCGAAAACTCACTGCATAAGGAAACATAGAGGAATTGAATTACTAATCAAAGGAGGCAATGCAAGACTTGTCAACTCCACAAAAAGGCACAAATTTGGGGAAAGAAGAGGTTTTTCCCCACATACGGGAGTAGAAAAGGCAAAAGAGGGATAACGATCAGGGAAAATTCAATAGTAATCCATTGCCGATAGTACACAAATATCTCACAGCTTCATATCAGATCAGTAATCTAGAAATTTAGAATCAAATCGTACAAGGATCGAGCTGGATTCAAAGCTTACCTGAAATCAAAGAGAATCAAGCAATCGAGCGACCGAGTGAGAGTCTCTCAGAATTGGGATACCAATTGAAAGTCCGACCAAGAGAGAATCTCCTTCCTTCGCAAAAGAAATCAAAACGGCGTCTCTCTCTGTCGTTTCAACACTCGATCACACGCACACCAGAGAGAGAGAGAGAGAGAAATGAAGCGAGCTTTCTATTGCAAAGGAGAAACGCTCTCCTTTTTATATGACAAAACGACGGACTTCTTCACCGTTTTGGTTCATGTGGGTCCCGTACCACTCTAACTTAGTAGTAAGTAATTAGTATTACACCTTTTTATTTAATTCTAAATATTTTTTTTTCTTTTGTTTTGCTCCCTTTGCACCGTTTGATTATGATTTAGTCTGAATCAACGGTTCTTGGTTTTTTTTTTTTTATGGATCCTTTCTCCTTTTTCAGTTTTTTTTTTGGGGGTGTGAATTTCATAATTCAGTAGTTGTTGTTCGATGACATGACAACACCATTTTGGAATTGTGTTTATTGATTAATGCTCTTTTGTTTATAAACGATTTAACACTCATCCGTTTTAGTCGGATTCAATCCCAGAAAACCCCATACAAGCTGCTAATGAAGCAACCAACGAATAAACACAACTCTGAATAGGATTATAGGAGAAACAGGCAAACCAGAATCATAAGAATATCTATATATATATGTGTCACGTAAATTTAAGAATTGATCTGGTTAAAACCTAAGAGTTGCAACACATGTTACTCTTTGTTGGTATCACCTGACCAGGACCTGGAACAATATCAATCTTCTTACCAGCAAGCGACCCAGGGTTACCATTCTCTTGTTCTTCACTCACAGCAAGACTTTTCTTGTTGACAATGTTGAAGATTTCAGTAAGAACCGTCGAGAAAGCGCTCTCAACATTGGTTGCGTTAAATGCAGATGTCTCCAAGAAGAATAAACCTTCTTTCTCTGCAAATTCTTTAGCATCCTCGGTTGGAATAGCCCGTTGATCTTCTAGATCTGACTTGTTCCCAATAAGGATTATCACGATATTCTTGTCCGCATGAGCACGCAGCTCCTCTAGCCACCTTGGGATATGATCAAAGGTTTGGCGCCTGGTTATGTCATAAACCATCATCGCCCCAACCGCTCCTCGGTAGTAGGCACTTGTTACCGCTCTGTATCTGTTCCATACAAATAAACCAAAAGTCACGAATATACAAAGAGACTCTGTAAAAGAAGCCATACTCTACATGTACTATCTAGATATAAGAGCTTATGATAAGCATGATATGTGGGGATCAGGAACATTCTACGGTGCTATATATATAGAGTGATTATTCCAGAGTTTTAGGTTATTCATTAATGACAATGACGCTTAAAGCCTGAGATTAAAACTACAGCGAAATCTATTAGTTTAAAGCAATTTCATTAGTCTGCTTATTAGTGAGTAAAGTAAAAACTTTCTAAATATTCACATGAACTATGGAGTCTAGTCTATACAGAGACTAACACATCATTTGAAGTCCAGTTCATATGATCTAAGTGATTCAGCTCACTAATTTTCGCGATTTCACTTCAGATCCTCCCCTAATGAGTTCACGACTTCGCGAAAATTTGCGTATACAGATCGAAAGAATTTACCAGAATTCGAAATCTAAGACTGAAATACTATCTATCGGATCCGGAGAATAATTATGAGATCTAAGTTCAAGCAACCCGAACGGAATGAAGAAGAGCAAGCGAAAAGCGATCCAAGCAAACAATTCAGAGAGGTCGGAGATTTACCGTTCTTGGCCGGCGGTATCCCAGATCTGAGCCTTAACACTCTTGTGATCGATGACGAGCGTCCGAGTTTGGAACTCGACACCGATGGTAGCCTTTGAATCCAAACTGAATTCGTTCCTCGCATATCGAGCCAGTATCTGCGATTTCCCAACCGCAGAATCGCCGATCAGAACCACTTTGAACACGTAGTCAATCTTCTGCGACGGGTCTCCGTATCCTCCCCCGCTCGCCATCTTCAACCTCTCGCTAAAAAATCCTCTGTTTCTACTTTCAAAAATGGATTTCAGTTTCGCTTTAGCGAAAAGGGAGCTTTTCAAGTTTTAAACTCAGAGATCTGATACGGTCGTATATTTGTGTCGTCGTTGTCAACTATTGGTCAATTCTTTTTTCTTCTTAATTATTGGTAACGTGTTCAATTATTCATCGTTAGATTCTGACGGTTCAAATCTTAGCGGTGAGATTTACAGATCGACAATTATCTTTCTGTCAGGCGGGATGTTTTGGGTGATGATGTCATCGATAAGGTAATATTCTAATAATTTTGAGGGTCGAATCGAAATTAATGAAAAACGTTTAGCCTCTTTCATATTGGCCCATGAGGCCCATCAGGCCATAATTAATAGCCCGGATACGATGATTACGTGTCGCTATCCAAATCGGCTAAAGTGCCCTAAGTGTTTTTAGTTTAAAAAAAAAAAAAGCAAACGTCGCGACGGAGAGAGATTGAGAGACGATGGAGGAAGAGGAGCACGAGGTTTACGGGGGAGAAATTCCCGACGTCGGAGAGATGGATGGTGATATGGAGGCTCCTAATCCGGACATGGACATGGCTTCCGCCGATGATGATGCCGTTAAGGTATGTTAACTCTTCTCTCTTACTGTACCGTTCAACGATTGATTCTCGATTGAATTGTGATCGCGTGTATAGCTGTTTGATAAGTGTAATTTTTGGTATTGAACTACTAGGAGTTGGATGAGATGAAGAAACGGCTGAAGGAGATGGAGGACGAGGCTGCTGCTCTGCGTGAGATGCAGGCTAAGGTCGAGAAGGAAATGGGAGCCCAAGGTTTTCGTCTCTTTGATTTCGCTTTCCTTATTTTTTCTACAATTCGCTTATTTGATTTCATTTTCAATGTACTTCCCGTAATTCGCTAAGTTTTTCTGATTGGTACTTGGTTTTTGGATCGACCTTTGGATTTAGTTTTTTTGTAGTCAGCTGTTTTTCTTCTTCACTTCAATTTTTTTTTTTCGAATTTTTATTGCAGATCCTGCTACTATAGCAGCAAATCAGGCAGGCAAGGAAGAGGTGGATGCTCGATCGGTTTTTGTTGGCAATGTAAGAATGCTTATGTTTCTGGATCTTGTTTTTTTGTTTGTTTTGTCTCTTCTTTCTTCTTTGAACCATCGTAGCTTCTGGTTGATTTCATAGCTTTTACCTCTTACTGACTCAGTGTGCATTCTCTTGGACTTAAATCGTGCGGAGATAACTAGCTCTGTTGATAAAAAGCGCTTTTCTAAACTTAGAACTTAGAAATATTCTAGTTCATCTGTGAGCCTACAATCCGATTGTAGTGGTTGGATATATTAGTAGTTGCCCTTAAATTTTGGTGTAACGTCACATCTTTGTTGCTATGGCTTTCACTGGATATCTGTTCAGTGACCACTCTAGAGTAGACGAAAATGTTGAATAATAGAACTTAGTGATGAGAGTGTAGGATATATCTTAAAACTTAGATTCTTGAGGAAATTATAAAGGAGTGAGGAACCTGAGACACTCAAATATAAAAGAAGACTTAGTCTGTTCAAATTTTAGGATGCTGTTGTTTTTCTTTCTTTCTTTTTTGGCTGAGTTTTGCTTTTCTTATGACTTTTCTCACTACAATCGCAGGATTGTTCTCATAGCTGAAGTTCTTAGTAGCTCTGGTTGTCAGCTAGGTTTTGTGGGGTCTCTACATTTTATTTTTATTTGTTGGAAAAAATCTGTTCTGTTCTCTTGTAGAACATGATTTAAAAAAAAAAATCTAAAAAACAATGCAAAAGAAAAATAAAAAGAAAAAAGAAAATCTAAAAAAGTGAATACGTTTTAGAGCCAAAAAAAAAATTAGAAAAGGGAAAATGTCATGTCTTTGAGAAGAAAAGGAAATCTGTGGAGGAGAAAATATTTGAGTGGAATATTCTGCAAAATTTCCTCAAGGAGATGGCCTTCGAAGAGTTGAATGAAGAGTTTGGATGCTTTCCAGTCAAGACGCATAGCTGCTATCTGCAGAGATTTGGTGAGAGGCTGCAGTTTGATGCTAACAAAATAGAAAGATTGTCAAAAAAGGTTTATGCTTGGCACACAGCGTAAGGGATCTTTTCGTCTTAATGGCTGCTCAAGTATACTAATTTATTGTTCTTGTTCATTTTTGCACCTATGAAAAGAAAGAAAGGTAGAGGTGGTGTATTTAACGAAGGATGGTCAAAGAGTAACGTCTTTGCTTGGTGTTCTTGTTTCGCTGAACTTATCAATTTGATGGATTGCTCTCTGTGTTCTTAGTGAAAGACTCCATGGGCTATGCTTGTTTGTTGTATACTGTAACCGCATATTTCATTGTGCAGGTTGATTACGCTTGTACACCAGAAGAAGTGCAGCAACATTTCCAATCATGTGGCACTGTCCATCGGGTGACAATTCTGACAGACAAGTTTGGGCAGCCAAAGGGATTTGCTTATGTCGAGTTTGTTGAAGTCGAAGCTATACAAGAGGCTCTACAACTGAATGAATCAGAGTTACATGGTCGTCAATTAAAGGTACTCAAAAGTTTCTTTCTTCTTTACTATATCCACTAAACCAAACACTGTTACCAATGATCCTATTGTCTTCTCATCTGGCTTCAAAAAATCTTAGGTCTTGCCTAAGAGAACAAATGTTCCTGGATTGAAACAGTACCGTGGTAGAAGATTCAACCCATACATGGGCTACCGATTCCGCAGACCGTTCATGCCTCCGTATATGTATTCTCCGTATGGATATGGGTAAGTCCGTTTAACACCTAAGACATATATTTTGGGTCACAGCTTACTTCTCTTCTTACACGAAGGCATCTTTGTTAATCTTAATGCAGGAAAGCTCCGAGGTTCAGAAGGCCAATGCGTTACATGCCTTACCAATAAAAATCGTCATGGTTTAAACATAGAGCGGATTCGTATTATGGGCTATATCCATCCTTTGTTGAACTTTATTTATGACTTTTGCTCTCTTGTTTTTACAACTTATCGTGTAAACATTTCGAATCTTGACTGGTATATCGTTTGAGATGAATCATATGAAGACATTTGGTTCATGTGTTATGCGTTTGGGTCAATATTAGCTGAATCCTGTGAAGTGAAAGTGTTGAGTGAGTTTCTCATATTAAAAAATATTTTAAAAATTAATATTTTATTCATGATAAACCCAATGGGTATTTCAATACTGATGATGCTCTCTCATTGAGGAGGAGTGGACAGTAGAGTTATAGCCATTTCTTGCAGTGACTCGAGTTTCAGTGAAGTGAGTGACTTGTTGTAGATTGGAAAAGACAATAATGTCCTTATGGCTTCCTTGTCGATACCCTTTCTTCTCCGGCTCGACTCCTATTCGCAGCAGCAGGAGCAATCTCTGCTTCGCCGTCGCCGCCGTACGGCTTTCTCGCCAGGATTGTGGATTGTTCCCTCAGCCTATCCACGTCCGCCACGTCACATCAAACCGGTTAAATTTGGAGATCGTGCGAGATTTTCGAGCTCATGCGTCTTCTATCGGCTCATTCGAGGACAGCTCCTCTTCTACCGACCTTGAAGACATTGGCTCCGACGGTTTCGATTTGGGAAGCTTCATTTCTTTCGCGGAGGTGCTTTGTATTTTATCCTCCGCCGTGATTTCGGTGGTTCTCGCAGTGAATTACGCGGTGGTTGGTGAAATTGGGAAAAAGGTTTTGTCTTTGGGTTTCGTCGGATTGGTGGGTTCGGTCGCATCTGGATCGTGGCTTAGACGACGGCAGTGGATGCGGATCTGCAAAGGAGCGAGAGAGGGTGAGGGGACGAATTTGATTTCAAGGTTGGAGAAACTTGAAGAGGATTTAAAAACCTCGACCACCATTGTTAGACTTCTTTCCAAGCATCTGGAGAAGTTGGGGATCCGGTTTCGGGTCACCCGGAAAGCTCTCAAGGAACCCATTTCCGAGGTAAAGCTCCGATTTTGCATTTTCTCGATCGAGCTTTTGGTTCATCATAATTCCGAGGACAGGAACAAGTAGTGATTTTTGGGAATTGATCAAGAGCTCTTTAAAAAGGAACGATTGTTTTGGATGAGCTGCTTTATTAGTATCACTTGCTAAATAATGAAGAAATGAATCGAACATATCTTCAAAAGTTTATACTTTTCAGATTCTGACTGATCAATGTTGCCCGTCTTTAACATCAAGCTTAGTTCATTTTGCTTTATGTATCTCAAAGAGTTTGGTTTGTTCTGTCTGAAGACTGCAGCTTTGGCTCAAAAGAACTCCGAGGCCACAAGAGTATTAGCTGCGCAACAAGAGATTCTAGAAAAAGAGCTTGGCGAAATTCAGAAGGTTCTGCTTGCTATGCAGGTATATCTCTATTAACCATAGATGGATTTTCACAATGTTCTGTTCTGTACTTGTTAAATCAAATGTGTAAAAGTATGTTTTCTAAGATTTTACCATGCCTGAATTGAATATGTTTGAGCTCATGAAAGCCGGTTGTTTGCTTTGCAGGATCAACAGCGAAAGCAACTCGAGCTAATCCTTACGATTGCCAAAAACGGGAAGCTGTTTGAGAGCACTAATAACAAGCAATAACCTAATCAGAAGGTCTCCTTTAGCAGAAGCAAGACAAGTTGTCAAGATTATGGGGAGACTATTTTTGCTTGATGTTCTCTGTCTACCGTTAACAAACAGTAGTCGAATAACTTCCTCAAAGTTATATAAGGAGCCGTACGTGTTATTATCATCTTCTCCATGTAAGCTCCGCTAATGAACAAAGTGGATGAGTATAATAAAAAAGGAAAGCAGTTTTTTTTATTTTTTTATAGTCGAATACGTATTCACTAAAGAAACTACTCTTTATCATTTCGAATACGTATTCACTAAAGAAACTACTCTTTATCATTCAGAGAGACAATACAAGATAATTAGCTCACAAGATAATAGTCGAATATGTATTCACTAAAGAAACTACTCTAATATTAGTTTTACTTATCGTGACAACAAATTTGAGCAATGTTTTTAGCTTCGTTCAATGGTTTGGATCCTACATGTATATTAGAACTAAAAATCCAAAAGTTCATCAAAATCCTACATTTTAAGAAAACTGATTGGTTCTCAAGACATCTATTTCAAAGTGGCCTATACTATATAGATATACACCTAGAAACTATCCAAAAAGTAGAAACATAAGAAATGATCGGAGTAACATTAACCTGTGTAACTTTGTGTAGTATATAAATAAAATACAGTGACTTAATATCACAAGGGGTGGTGGCGCAGTTGGCTAGCGCGTAGGTCTCATAGCTACTGAGTGATCCTGAGGTCGAGAGTTCGAGCCTCTCTCACCCCAATTTTCGTTTTTACCTCTCTCTCTAAATAATATCCTTTCTATTTCTGAAGTCCAGGGTATGGCACTATTATGTCACACATTCAAATATATTTTCTTCGTAAATCAGATTCAAAGCATCACCATGATTAATTATTTTTTTTAATCACGCAGGAAAAGCAGTTTTACGACCAGTGTCGGCTTTTCTTCTTTCTCTTTGACTGGCCATTGCGATGCCATAATTGCGATTTGTTTTTAAGACTTTTCGTCTAACAGAGTTTTACTTTCTCAGTTCTCTTCTGTAAGAGGTTTACTTTCTCTTCTATAAGAGTTAATTCGGAAGTGGAACCATCCAAATCTTGTTGGTTTTATTCAAAGAGTGAATCTTTCCGTGGTTGATTTATCATTTTCACCTTTCTCGATTTTCTTCTCCGCTACTAGTTCCTTTTTTGAAATCCTATTTTTTGCTCTTTTTTTTTTCTTTTGGTATTCTCAAATTTCGCGTCTTGAGATTTGGGTTTTTGATACTGTTTTTCCGTGAAGAGTGTGGACTTCTCTGAGAAAAATGGTCGTTCATCTTCTGGTCATTTGAAAAGGTTCGTTTTTTAGCAGTCAATTTACGCTCTCTCTTTTTAATCAAATCTCAGATTGTTATCCTTTACGTTTCAGCAGTGAAATTCGTATACTTCAAGCTTTATAGAATTTCGGAGTTTCATTTGAAACTCATTTCAAAATTTAGAAGTCTCCGATTCTTTGTCGACGAGAATTCCCCATAAGGCAGATCTATACATACTATCTTAAAAAAAAAAAAAAAAAGAGCTAAGGATATGTTTTAACTTTTGTTTAAACGTTCTTGTAGATGGCACAAATTCTCAGAATCCAACATTTTGGAATTTGCTAGCTCTTAGAAAAAAATGGCTCTGGCTTTTATCACTGCTTTGGTGTTTGCTTGTTTATGGTCATCTGTTTCACCAGATGGTCAAGGTAACTTTCATTTATTTTTGTCTTCTTTTATGCTTTCTTTGGTAGTTTCTTCTAAGTTTGGTTTGTCAAATCTTGCAATTTCATTTTCAGGGGATGCACTATTTGCGTTGAGGAGCTCGTTACGTGCGACTCCTGAACAGCTAAGCGACTGGAACCAGAATCAAGTAGATCCTTGTACTTGGTCTCAAGTTACTTGTGATGACAACAAGCATGTTACTTCAGTGTAAGCTTGATAAGACTTAGCAAAATTGGTCAAAACTTGGTTAATTATGGGTTTGAGAGAAAACTTTTCTGCTATATGGTTGTGTGATTTTGCAGTACCTTGTCTTACATGAACTTCTCGTCGGGAACTTTATCTTCACGAATAGGAATCTTGAAAACTCTAAAGACTCTGTAAGTACTTACTTAGAAACTGTGAGCTAATTTCTCTTTTCTGCATTTTACTGTATGGAAAATTCTGCGTTTTGTTAAATGAGGATTTTTGCTTGAAGTACATTGAAGGGAAATGGAATTACGGGTGGAATACCAGAATCCATTGGAAACCTCTCTAGCTTAACAAGCTTGGATTTGGAGGATAATCAGTTAACTGGTCGCATACCAATCACTCTCGGTAATCTCAAGAACCTCCAGTTCTTGTAAGTGATTCTTCTTCCCAAGTGTCTTGAATTTTGTTTAAGAAGAAAGAAGCTTTTTAAGTCTTTATTTCTCTTGTTTGGCTAAGCAGGACACTGAGTAGGAATAACCTAAATGGGACTATCCCGGATTCACTCACAGGCCTTTCAAAACTGATAAATATGTGAGTGATTGTTCTCTGTGCTGTCTTCTTCCCCGTTTTCTCAAGTGTTCTTATTAACGTAGTTGCTTGAAACTACATTTGCAGTTTGCTGGACTCAAATAATCTCAGCGGTGAGATTCCTCACGGTTTATTCAAAATTCCAAAATACAAGTATGTACGAGTACTTTTCGGTTTCAAACACGACTACTTGAGGTTTTATATTTATCTCACCACTAATCTCATTTGGATTTTACATGCTTATAGTTTCACAGCAAACATCTTGAGCTGTGGTGGCACTTACCCTCGCCCTTGCGTAACCGAGTCCACTCCTTCAGGTGAAACTACAAATAGTTTGCTGATACCTTACTTCCATATTCGTTCTTCTAGTTGCCATTTACTTTCCCTGCAAGGGTACTAAGTATGAACAGTTCACTTTTACCCTGATATGATAGGTGATTCAAGCAATTCAAAAACTGGAGTTATCGCTGGAGTTGTTACCGGGATCACAGTTATTCTCCTTGGATTCTTTCTGTTTTTCTTCTGCAAGGATAAGCATAAAGGATACAGACGCGAAGTGTTTGTAGATGTTGCAGGTCTGTGACAATGAATAATCAACATTTCTCTCGTTTCTAGTTTAGTTTGGAACTTAAAAAAAAAAGACTTTAATAATTTCTATTTGTAACGATGGTTTCAGGTGAAGTGGACAGAAGGATTGCGTTTGGACAGCTGAGAAGGTTTTCATGGAGAGAGCTTCAGTTGGCAACAGATGAGTTCAGCGAAAAGAACGTTCTTGGACAAGGAGGCTTTGGGAAAGTGTACAAAGGAGTGCTTTTGGATGGCACGAAAGTCGCAGTGAAAAGATTGACTGATTTTGAACGACCAGGAGGAGACGAAGCATTCCAGAGAGAAGTCGAAATGATAAGTGTAGCTGTTCATAGGAATCTGCTTCGCCTTATCGGCTTTTGCACTACACAAACCGAACGCCTTTTGGTGTATCCGTTCATGCAGAATCTAAGTGTTGCATATCGGTTAAGAGGTAATCAAAAGAGAAATAAGCAATCTTTTTTACTCTTTTTAGTTTTTTATTTTTGTGATTTGGATTTGCGGGTTATGATAATATTGCAGAGATTAAACATGGCGATCCAATTCTGGACTGGTTCAGGAGGAAACAGATTGCGCTAGGCGCAGCACGAGGACTCGAATATCTTCATGAACATTGTAATCCAAAGATCATACATCGAGATGTGAAGGCTGCAAATGTGTTACTAGATGAAGATTTTGAGGCAGTGGTTGGTGATTTTGGTTTAGCCAAGTTGGTAGATGTTAGAAGAACCAACGTGACCACTCAGGTCCGTGGAACAATGGGTCACATTGCACCTGAATGTATATCCACAGGAAAATCATCAGAGAAGACTGATGTTTTCGGGTATGGAATCATGCTTCTGGAGCTCGTAACAGGACAAAGAGCCATTGATTTCTCGCGGTTAGAGGAAGAAGATGATGTCTTATTGCTAGACCATGTAAAATTCTATTTTTATTTGTTTCTTCTCATGTTTTCTTGTATTGCAAAATCACAATCTCTTGGTTTCAGGTGAAAAAATTGGAAAGAGAGAAGAGATTAGGAGACATTGTAGACAAGAAGCTTGATGAGGATTACATGAAGGAGGAAGTTGAGATGATGATACAAGTTGCCTTGCTGTGCACGCAAGCAGCACCTGAAGAACGACCAGCCATGTCGGAAGTTGTGAGGATGCTCGAAGGAGAAGGGCTTGCAGAGAGATGGGAAGAATGGCAGAATCTTGAAGTCACGAGACAAGAAGAGTTTCAGAGGTTGCAGAGGAGATTTGATTGGGGTGAAGATTCGATTAACAATCAAGATGCCATTGAGTTATCTGGTGGAAGATAGAAAATGGAGATTGCGCTAGGCGCAGCACGAAGACTCGAATATCTTCATGAACATTGCAATCCAAAGATCATACATCGAGATGTGAAGGCTGCAAATGTGTTACTAGATGAAGATTTTGAGGCAGTGGTTGGTGATTTTGGTTTAGCCAAGTTGGTAGATGTTAGAAGAACCAACGTGACCACTCAGGTCCGTGGAACAATGGGTCACATTGCACCTGAATGTATATCCACAGGAAAATCATCAGAGAAGACTGATGTTTTCGGGTATGGAATTATGCTTCTGGAGCTTGTAACAGGACAAAGAGCCATTGATTTCTCGCGGTTAGAGGAAGAAGATGATGTCTTATTGCTAGACCATGTAAGATTCTATTTTTATTTGTTTCTTCTCATGTTTTCTTGTATTGCAAAATCACAATCTCTTGGTTTTAGGTGAAGAAATTGGAAAGAGAGAAGAGATTAGGAGACATTGTAGACAAGAAGCTTGATGAGGATTACATGAAGGAGGAAGTTGAGATGTCTAAAACCAGAGAGGTTGCTGGGTCCAGTGGTTTATATCGTTTCCGGTTAAATAGATATTTTGGTTTGTTTTTTGTATTGATCGGTTTAGTAGAATGGGAAGAAACTCCGTCAATGTTTCAGACTCCGTCAAAACCAGTCATAAAATGGATTAACGGGACGGTCCCGCCGTTATCTTTCCCGGTAATTCTATAACTGAGACGCTATCTACATTAATTCGTATGTTGGAATCTGATTTTTCCCTCTTCTCTCTCTTAGAGTCTTCTGGAGCAAGAAAGAGAATCTTCTGGAGCAAGCTCAAGATTAGCAAGATTACTCTAGGTAAGGGACCTGCTTCAAGTTCTCGATTAGCTCTTTACGTGATTGAATCGGTTGGTTTTTGCTTTCCCGATTGATTCTGCTTCGGCTTCATCTTCTTCTTTCTCTACCCTAGTTTTATGATCGGACTTTGGCTTCTTAGTAAATTGTTGTTTACTTCGTCCGGTTGATTTTTGCAATCGTCATTGTCAATTTTGTCACAAGATCTTCATGCCGAGACTTAATTCTCACAGAAATCTGTCGTTGAATGAGATTAGCGCAAGTGTTTTAGCGGACTTGGGATCAATTTTGTCATAAGATCTTCATGCCGAGACTTAATTCTCACAGAAATCTGTCGTTGAATGAGATTAGCGCAAGTGCTTTAGCAGACTTGGGATCAATTTTGTCACAAGATCTTCATGCCGAGACTTAATTCTCACAGAAATCTGTCGTTGAATGAGATAAGCGCAAGTTTTTTTGCAGACTTGGGATCAATTTTGTCATAAGATCTTCATGCCGAGACTTAATTCTCACAGAAATCTGTCGTTGAATGAGATTAGCGCAAGTGTTTTAGCGGACTTGGGATTTTTTTTACTCTGTAATTGCAGGTAACCACTGGGAAGGAAACCACTGGTGATTATGGAGGAAACCACTGGGAAGGAAACCACTGGGACGCAGCAATCTTCAGCTGGGAAGCCGAACGAGACGTTTTCAACTACTCCATCTACTAAGGTTACTAATTGACAGCACTTTCTGCATCAGGATTCGGAATAGTTATTACCACTTCTCATCTTTATATATATTGTTTTTCTATCTTTGTTTAACACTAGGCTGCTAATCCATCAACACTTCGAGCTTCTGCTGAGCCATTCACTCCCACACCGAGGTCTCCACCAAGACAAGCTTCTTTCTTGCCACCTCAGCAACTACCATATAGTCCACAAATCCCTATGTATCCATGTGATGTAAGTATAAATTTCCAGACCACTTCTTCTTCTATGATAAAAATTCTTGTTTCTGACTCATGGTTATGTGTTGAAATCCAGTTTCCAAAGCTCAGCGATAAACCAATACAGTCGGCTGTGAAAAGCTTCAAAAAAAGCTATAGAAGCCTCTTGCCTCCAAACCCTCCAAGCCCTCCAAGGCCCCCTCCGCATAACCCTACTACTCAGCATCCTACCACAAATCCAACTCCCCCAACTCGTCATACTACTTCTAGCTCTTATGGTCCTTCTTTCTCCTATAGGGGTAAATTGAATCTTCGTCCGAAGAAGAAGAAGAAATAAGATCATCAGTCTGGGAATCTGGAAATATGAGCGTTGACTATGGAAATGCTCAAGCTTCGCCTTGTTTGATGTGCTGCGTTTATCTGAAATGCTCAAGCATCCTCTTCTCCAAGCTAAACCGTATGCAAAAAATTAGATTTTGAAAACTTCATTTCGTCCTACTTTTGAGTTGTTGAGTTTAACTAGATTGCTTCGGATTCTATAGTCGTTGTCTTGTGGGCGAAATTGATTAGCTCAAAATTTCATGAAATTGAGACAATCAATCTTGAGTCATATATAAATCGAGATGGTGTTGAGTGTAGTTCTCTCAGCGTATCCGGGTTAGGCAATGGAGCATAGTGGCAACTTGAAGAGTCAATGGTTAATTTTTGCACATCTGCACAAAGACAAGTCAAAGACTGTGTTTGATGAGGATTTATATGTTTCATGCATGAAAAGGTTTCTGTATCTTCGCTGCTATGATAGCCTCGAGCTTTTTGTCCCGCCTCAAGATATTGTTTTCCTTGTCTGTTGAAGGATCACTTTGTGTTGGATTCTGTTAAAACAGAGCTCTAAAAGAAAAGCTATAACGTCAAAAGAAAAGACTAAAAAAAAAAAATTAAGAGCTCGAAAAATAAAGTCTCAACTTTTTCGGGTAATGAAATAAAGTCAACTTAGGTCAATGATCGAGCGAGATACGAAAACAAACCCACGCGCATCTTTTTATGTTTTGATTAGGAAATCAATTCATGGGCCTCAATTAGTCCATTATGAGGACTTAGATAGGCTTTCTGAGCCCGTTATAAATTCTAATTTTTCTGTATTCATGTAATTTTTAAAATCGACGGTCGTTTTTTTTTCTAGGTTTTAATCTCTACCAAGTTAGTACCTAGATAAAGTCGTCGATTTTGAAAAAAAAAAGAAAAAAAAAAAAGATAAGGGCGTCGATCCAACTTAACATTAATCAGAAAATTCACAATTTTGGTAGATATAGGAGGACTAAAAAAAAAGGAAACTCTTTACGAATCTCACTTGGATTCTAGTTAGGAATGATTTAAAGCAATTTTCATTTCTTATTTAAACAAAACAAAAATAAAAAATTGGGTAAATTTCCTATTTTAAGGAATTATGAACAAAGATGATTATGGAAAAAAATACGAATTAATGAGAAAACACACAATTTTAGGAGGACGACTTCTAAAAAAATATGGAAACTACTCACAAATCTCACTTGGATTCTAATTAGGAATAAATACAAAACCCCCTTAATTTAGGATATTATCTTGTTAATATTCTGTATAGATCTTCTTCTATAGATCTTCTTCTATATATATATATATATATATATCGATGTATGATGTTACTCATGATTAAGCAAACCCTAAACACTGATAAGAAATATGGACGCATTCACACAGAAAAGAATGATGGAGAGCAGGACATGGTGGCACCGCCACTACCAAACACCGGACGTAGTCACAAGGAAAAGAATGATGGAGAGCAGGACATGGTGCCAAAGACTAATGACTAGTTGCCAAAAAGTTGACGAGGACGAGTTTCTCAGGATCCTCGACGACTCCTATGAGCTCCGGAGGCTTGCCAATACGCTATCGTCAGATACAGATAGCTTCGTCGATATCATCAGAGACAAAGTAGGCTTGAACCGCGTCATGAGAATCTTGGGAATATCAGACGATATCAACACTATCCTTTTATGCCCTATCATGATCAGATTTCACGAGATTATGACTCATGAACACGGCAAAGATTTGGCGTCACGAGTCCTAGACGTTTGCAACATACATGACAAGAACCTGTTTTGCCAAATCACGTACCATCATCACGAGTCACAGACGACTAATGAAAGGACGTGGTGCCAGAGACTAATGACTAGTCGCGAAAAAGTTGACGAGGACGAGTTTCTCAGGATCCTCGACTCTTCCTCGGCCTCTTCCTATCATGAGCTCCGGAGGCTTGCGAATACGGTATCGTCAGATACAGATAGCTTCGTCGATATCATCAGAGACAAAGTAGGCCTGAACCGCGTCATGAGAATCTTGGGAATATCAGACGATATCAACACTATCCTTTTATATCCTATCATTCTCAGGTTCCACGAGATTATGACCCATGAACACGGCAAAGATTTGGCGTCACGAGTCCTAGACGTTTGCAACATACATGACAAGAACATGTTTTGCCGAATCACGTATCATCTCATCTTTTACATAGCGCATAACGAGAACGGTTGCAGCATAATCAAGAAAGCCATAACAACAGCTGATGATCTCTTCAAATCTGATTTCCTCGACCTAATCGCACAGCACGCTAACTTGCTAAGCACGCACGATTTAGGAATCTCCTTATTCCAACATGTGGTTGACCTCGACTTTACAAAGAAAACCACAGAAGAAGACACGCGCTTGCACGAGCTAATGGCTGAGTTTGATAAGATTCTCCCGATCACATCTGATACAGCAGAGCTTCATAAGCTTGCCTTGAAGCTTACGTCAGACTCTGATCTTTTTCTCGAGTTAGTCAAAACCAAACGAGGCTCGCTCATGGCTCAGATAATCATAGGAAAATCCAAGGAAATCGATACAGTTTTTTGGGAGGCAATCAAGCAAAACTACACCAATGTTGCAACCAGTTTTTACGGTCATCACATCTTCCGACGAGCCATAAACGTTGTCGAGGAAACAAGAAAGTTGAAACTGGTTGCGCAAATCCTACGCCTAGATGGATACAACGCTCTCTACCTAACAAAGGAGCCCCATATCGGAAACTTGGTGGTAGAATACACGATTAATCGCCACGACTCGGTCGTTACTGAATTAGTCGCGAGTGGGCTTCAAGGTCACTACATTGAGCTTTCTTTTCTGAAACATGGAAGCAACATTGTGGCCATGCTTCTCGGTGAAGATGAAGAGTTGCCTCTGCTTCTTATCGTGACGGAGATTGTCGAGTGTGATGAGGATACGTTGGTGAGATTGGCTAATGATGAATACGGGAATGGTGTCTTGGCAAAGACTCTGCAAGTTGCCAAAAAGCTTAGGGATGATTTGTTTGGTGATCTAGTTGGCAAGCTCAGGCCTTTTCTTGATACCTTGCGTGGGTCTCGCGGAGAAAACATTGCACAAGCCATAAACGTTCTCGAGGAAAGAGGAAAGTCGAGATTGTTTGAGATAACCAAACGCCTCAATGGATACAACGCTCTCTACCTAGCAAAGGAACCCAACCTGGGGCTACAAGACGCGATTGATCTCCACGAACCGGACTTTACTAAATTAATCGCGTGTGGGCTTCGAGGCCACTTCATTGAGCTTTCGTTTCTGAAACATGGAAGCAACATTGTGGAGAAGCCTCTCGGTGAAGATGAATATTTGCCTCTGCTTCTTATCATCATGGAGATTGACATCAAGTGTGATGAAGATAGGTTGGTGAGATTGGCTAAGGATGAATACGGGAATGGTGTCTTGAAAAAGACTCTACAAGTTGCCAAAAATGTTAGTGATGATTTGTTTGGTTATCTAGTTGGCAAGCTCAGGCCTTTACTTGATACCTTGCGTGGGTCTCGCGGAGAAAACATTGCAGCTATCATCAACGAGTTACAGTGAGACGGTTAAAGATCGGATATATGTTTTTTATTTTTATTTATTTTATTTTTTCATTTGCAAAGCTTTATTTGGAGGCTTAATTTCTGTTTTGTTTTACTATCAAGATATTCAAAGTTTGGATTGATGATACACATCTAATAAGACTGTGTTGTGTATTACACGACAAAAGATTCGTAATTAAGCATATATAATAATTAAGATTTTTCAGAAGATAGATTGATGATACACACATAAGAAGATTGTGTTGTATACAAACCCACACCAAAAAAAAAAAAAAAAAAACAGTTACATGCATAACACACGAAATTTTCAATATTTTTATGAAACAAATAAGTAAGAACTTTTTACGACACAAATTTAAAAATAATTATCTCAACAATCTTTGGTTGGTCTCTATATACTACATATATGGTACATATAGAATGCATGTTCGTATGAAGAACATGAACAACATGTATATATGAGTTATACTTATACATAGAACACATGTACATTCTAAGACATTACCACACATCATGAAACAAGGTATAGATATATAACCACATGCACAACAACACCAAACAGATCCACTCAAGTTCCTTGGAAGCATATACATCCATACCTCAAGATTGATAAGGAATGTCTGGAAATATGGAGTCATCAAAAAGATGATCAGGCCAATCTACAGAGCCTGTGGCTGCTAATTCGTGATCATGGTTTGAGGAAGCCTGGTTGCAGCCGAAACCATCTACACTCCCAGCCAAATCATCACTCTCATGAGAAGGCAACATAGTTTGGCTCAAGCTCGGTGGTTCATGTAGCCATATTGGAGAAATGTTTTGAATGAAGTGATTCTCGTCTAGGGATTTGTGGGATGGGAGGTTCAGGTTGTTGAAGTCTTGAAGATAAGAAGTGAGGAGACCGAAGTCGAGATTATTATTGGTATTGGAGTTTTCTTTGAAGAGGAGATTGAGGATGTTTAAGTCATTAGGGTTAATGCTGCTACTACTAGTACTAATGGGAAGAGGAGGAGGTTGAAGGAAGTATTGGAATAACTGGAGCTTAGCCATCTCAGCTTGGAGATCCAAAAAAGCTTGGTCTTCAGTTGGAACCTGTTGCTGCAGATCAACAAGTCCTCTTAGGTTAGACAGTGACATGAGCTGAGATAAGCTCGAGAAGATATCATCGGTTCTTGGACGATGAGTCATGGGATCATAACCCATCTGAATCATCTTCTTCTTCAAATGAGTGTTCCAGAAATTCTTGATCTCGTTATCTGTTCTCCCTGGTAGGTGGCTTGCAATCATTGACCACCTTAATTATACAGTCGTTTACAAATAACAGTTTTCAGTGAGTTGAGATACAAATACAAATAATACAGATAATTAACATTAAGAAGATTTTACTTGTTTCCAAGAACTGCGTGAAGATTCAGAATGGTATGTTGCTCTTCAGGGGAGAATTTTCCTCGCTTGATGTCAGGTCTCAAATAGTTTGTCCATCGTAGCCTGCAACTCTTCCCACACCTGTTAAGACCTACATGTAGAAATACATATATTCACAAGACAAAAAAAAAAGACTCTGACTTAAGAGACCTATATATCAAGCACAAAACTAGGTTTTGATCAACTAATTGAATAACTAAGAATGGTACCAGCGAGCTTGGGAAGAGCACTCCAGCTGCTATGGCCATGTTTCTGAATATAATTGATGAGTTTATCATCTTCTTCAGGCAACCATGGACCTTTCTTCAGACCGGTTTCATCTGAGCTTGGAGATCTTCCCATGTTTGATGAACTTCTGTATCTACAACAACAGTCTTTGATTATCTTCTTCAAAAGATTTGGTCGCTTGCCTCCTTTCTTCACAACTACTAACTGCTTCTTATTATATTAAGTCGAGCTTTCCTCTCTCTTCAATGTCCATTGACCACGTGCTCCTTTCTTATTCGCGTACCAAAACAACCCATGTCGTTTTAACCCTTCAAATTCCATTTTCTCTTCTTTATTCTCTCATATATAATATATATATATATATATACTTATTAATTATAACCCTAAGCAATACGAGCAATCTTCTTCTCGGACACAATCCAAGATCTTGAGATCCCTTAGCTTTATGCTTGAGTCCTCTGGTTCGTGTGGATTAATATCGTCAGAGACCTGCAATTATAAAAACATGGTCACAGTCGCATCGCTTGCTAAAGAAAAGTTTCGACAGAAATGTACGTATATAGGAATTTGACAAGAGCTACAAACTGTTTCAACTCATATTTTTCAATCATTGGCTAGAAAAACAAAAAGAGAAATGATTTAAAAATAAGTCAGCGCCAACAACAGATGTCACTCCAAGGATGGCTGAAGAGTCATCTCCTTTGGCACGCAAAGAAAGGTTACTCAATTATGTATTTGGTGTTCTCTAATATCTAAGGAAAAAAAAAAATCTAACTGTATTTCCTTCGTATCAAGCCATGAGCCCTAAGTAAAAGCTTTTTGTCTCTGAAAATGAGGTAGTTGTAAGCAGAGAAAACTTCAAGTCCAAGAGTCTTAATTAGGATACTGGAATACAAAAGAAAGAAGTAAAAGTGGTCCATTAAGGAAACTTAAGTCCGAAAGTCTTGTTCAACGCATTTCTTTTGATCTTGAGGAAGTCCTGATATGGCAAAATTAGGTAATACTTACAGAGATTTTCAACTCAAAAGTGTTTTTTCTGGTGAGAAGAAGGTGCTAATTTCATAAACCTGCAACAGGAATCATATCAGGATACGTGAGAAGATATATAACCCTATCATACTTCTAGAGATCAATCATTTTTCATTCATAAGCACATTATTGTATGCTCTTCAATAAAAACAAAATTACGGAAATTGCCTACACAAATATGGCCGACAAAGTATATATATATATATATATGTTATGTTTTGGCATTATGAGAAGAGACGTTACTGTTGATAATGTGACAGGCTTGATGTGACACATTCTGTTGAAAATTGGAAGGAGCTTGTTAGGGGAGAGGTTGTTGCAGAAAATGATCTAAATCTCCACCATCTTTGAAACCTTCAAGACTTTTCTCTCCACTGCCTCTGCATTGGACCAAATGGCATAGTTCTTGTCTTTTTCTTCTGCGTCTTCTCCATAAAGTAGATGATATAGGGTTTCTTCCAATTTTTTAAATGAAAGATATGTATAACTTGTCCTCGAGAAACAAACTCTAAGATCTATAGAATGGAAAAGTTTTCTCTGTCTATGTAAAGGCGTCAAAGATAAATTGTCACTGCATCAACGAACTAAATATGTATATTCCGTAGAGGCTTGTGAAATGGTCAAGGTTTAGATATTAAGCTTCATGAGTGTTTTAAACTGTCAATAGTCCTGTATAGAAAAAAATGATCTTTATTCATGAAAAAAAAAACAGTAGTATTTTCGTGGTGCCGACAGTGAAGAGACATTGATTTGGGTTATAATTTCATCAATGAAACTTCCAGAAAGCATCTAAATGATAATGTATACTTAACCATGCACAAGTAGGAATCATCAAACCCGAGTAAGATAGGCCTATAATTGAGGTGGAGTATTAAGGATTTTAAGCTTTGAATTTCATCATATCAAAGAAAGATAAGCCTACAAGAGAGGGGTTTGAGTTGCTTGTCCATCTAGGGTTTCTATAAGAGTGGACCACACCACAATCTCACTGGGGGGGAGCAGGTACAGTAAATATTAAAGAATTAAGGAAGGAGGCACTAGGTTCATCCTAAAACATAATCAATTTTGAGATACGTTATGTCACTTAAACCATTCTTTGATTTTCCTCTAATATTAAAAATGGTCGCAAATGTCAGCTATAAAATTCGATTTGCTTCTTCTCCTAAGTTCCTAACCAAGACATCCAATTAAACCCTGACTTTCAAAGCCACATTTGAAAAAGACTTTCACTTCTTCCCTATTTTCTGTAAATGAGGATGCATCGAACTCAGGACTATATTAGTCTTGAAATACGCAATACACAATGTATATCTAAAGAGCATTTCTCGACCCAAATGTTAATTTCTTGATATCCTCATTTGGATGACTTATACGCAGTAATATTGGTACTTACATAATTAAGAGAAATCCAAGATGCTTGTGTTGAGAATTTCATCAGCGTCAGTGAGGAATGAGGATCCTACGAGGGATGACAGCGAGTGAAAATCCAATATGAGACACATGCACACGTATAAAGTTATTTCAAGAACAGGATTTGAGTTCCTGAGTATATCCAAACAACACGTTAAATTCTCTTTTTTCAATTGTTGACATGGAAACAAGCTTGTTGGAAAAGCAGAAAGTCTAGGTGTGGGGTCAGGAGATTTTGGTAATTTCGATCATATGATGGTTGAGTATTTCAAGATGTTTTGTTAGCTGTTGATCTTAAGACTGGTTATCTTTGTTTATATTCTTATACATCTGACTATTAAAATCAATAATACAGACAAAACTCACCCTTCAAAATTGAGACGTTACATCTGCGAGAAATACATCTTCACAAGAAACCTCACAGATATAAGATGACAGAGATAACAGGAAAAATAAGAGCGTATAGCTGTTGTAAAATCAAGTCATTCTCTAGTATTATATGAACCAAATTGTGTGGGCCTTAAGTGTTGTTTTCTTAGGCATCAACCACTACATGTAATTATAGGTGGCTATATTCCTTTCATTGATGACATCAATTTACAGCTAAAAGACAGTGAAATATAGAGAGGGAGACAATGTGATTATCCTAATTAGAGCTCCACAGAGAATCAACATTTTAGATGCATGAATGGCGGCATCGACCACTTAATAAAGTATATCAATATCTATGACGCAGAATTCGAATGAAGCAATGCAGCAGAAACAATATATTCATTAAATTCAAGAAAGATGAGTAGATATCACCTACAAAAACCCGAGTTGATCAGGCACTAGAGGGCGATCCTGTCTTGGACCAGACTTTCAAAGGTTCATTTAATCAACAAATTTCTGCTACCATTATATGAAGAGACAGATGTATGCAGGATGCCAGCAACAGGTTCTACGACAGACAGACGAAATGGAAGTTTGTTCGAACAAATCATCAACAAACCTCGGAAGTAAAAAGAATCGGTCTTGTTCATCGTTTCCGTCACAAGCATCAAGAAGACAATAAGACAAACTGAAAGAGCCTGCACAATTAACAATTCTTTTTTTTTTTTTTGATAATGGGTTTCACAAGTTTTGTTGCTTTTAAGGAGATGGTAGTTAAAGTAGACAGACTAAAGGTTTTGGTCTTTTCACGAAAGAAAGTATACGACTAATTAAGATAAACACTGAGGAAGCTTTTTGCATGAAAAGCAAGTCACATGTTGTGATCCAGAAGTACCAAGATCTCTTGCATGAAAAGATTACGTAAGACGCTTACAAAACTATAGAATAATCATGTCAAAAGTATCATAAAAAGCAGTGCAGACCTTTTAAAGCACATGGCTGGAGTTGGTAAGACAGGTCTTCATCATAAAATAGTTCCAATAAACAATATAAAGCTGTTCATTAGGCGCAATTAAATCTCCTAAATCGCCTCTAGATATGCATTTTTGTCTTACGCTTCCTGTACTTACCATTAACTAAGAACACGACCCTAACTTACAGTACAGAGCTTCAACATTAGCACCCTATTTCTCTCAACACACAAAAATATAGAGTAAGTCTCGCTTGACGTCTTGATCAGTTTGAAATATTAGGAAAAACTTATCTGATCAGTGTAAACTAATGGGTGTGACTGGCACATTGCAGCTGTCAAACTCAATTTACAGATGATTCTAGAAAAACAATTATAAACTCTATAAAAACAGAAATAATAACCCATTGGTCATATATAATTAATAGTTGTGGGCGTTGTCAATAAATAAAAAATAAAAAAAATTAATAGTTGTGAGCAGATGGATATTTTCAAATGATCTTTTGACTTAATCCTTGGATGTAAGGAGGTATTAGGTAAAATGTCGTGGAGCAGATCACTGCTATATCAACAATTATAGTTTGATAATGACAAATCAGTAAAACATGCAATTAAGACACTTAGACTCACCGGAAGACTTGCAGCCGGAACTGACAACCCAATAATCCCAAATTCCATTAGCGAAAAAGAGCCAATTGAATATTATTGCGGTTCCTTTCGGAAAATAGCAAAGAAGATATCGATCGCTATATCTGAAACCTTCTTCCTTTGCTAATTGGCGACTTGGATCACTACTCCTTGCTTTTACGAGATCCTACGCACATCACTGATTTCGACTTGCTCCAAAACCTACATTAATTCCTAATTTTCCCGCCATTTTTTTAGTTTTACTTTTTAACCCTATACTTAAAATGATTTTTGTATTTTTTTAACAGAAACAAAAGTTGAAAGATTATATGGTGTTATGGAGTGTTTATACTCGTTTCTCCCTCAGATTGGAAAATTTATTTTGCACAAAATAAAAAACAAGGAGCAAAGATATTCAATTCATACTACTTAATGAGGAAAGTTTACACCAACAGAACAACAACAAAGATTCAAAAACAATAACAGAGAGAGGAAACATGCAGCAAGAGCAGAGACCATCAATGGCTGTTATTTTTTTTTTGGTCAGGCAGATTTTGCAGCCTCAGCTGCTTCTTCTGCAGCTTCTTCCTCTTGCAGCTTCTTTAGAGAAGGAGGTGGTCTCACCACAATGCTTTTCTTCCATTTCCTGTCAAGTTTCCTCGACAACCTTTTCCCTATCCCTTCTTCAATCTCCCTCTCCCGTCTAACTGTCAATATCCGCGCTACCTAATATTTACCCACAACCAAAACAAACATTTCTTTCTTTAGTAACATCAGAAAGAGAGAGAGAGGTAGAGCCAAAAGCCAAGAAAATTCGACTTGGATTTAGTTTCTTCCTCGAAAGTTACTCTGTTGCATTTGCCACTTAATATACTAAACAAGACATGGCACAAAGTCTTAAAATTTACGTATGTGCAAGACTCTATCCAAGGACCTGAAGATTTACGAATCTAAGCTCTACACAGACAAAGGGCAAATTGCACTATTGTCCTTGTCAATTAGCAAAGTCACTATAACTACCATTTTTATAGTTTAGAGTTTACGATATACAATCTGTACAACACACATTGGCTAAAAAAGAGTGTGCTTTTGAGTGTTTTATCAAGAAACCATAAATCCCAAATGTATTATACCTTTCACCGACTCTTGGACTTACGAAGTCGATACTATATACACACAATCGAAATCAAGCAGAAATACAGAGAATTTTGCCACAATCGAGCAGATGCAAAGGAGGTTCGATGTAAATTTCAAGCAATTTTGAGTTAAATTCGCAACCAATTCTGCATAAACGAGGGAGAATCAGTAAAAGACCCAGAAGAAGAAAGGCTTACCATCTTCTTCATTCGGCGAAAGTCGCTTGATTTGAACTCGTTCCTTGCCGATTTCTGGAGACGGAGCATGAACAGCTCTCCTTTAAGGTCAATAACCTCTTCGTTTAGCTCCTCCGTCGTCTTCGCTCTGATTTCTTTCAATTGCGCTTCTCTTTTCGACATCATCACCACCAAGGGTTTACGAGAAGAAGCTATCGTCGCCGCCGGCACGCGAGCAGAAACCTGGTGCTGGATCCTGACACCATGGAATGAAGACGACTTTGAACTCGCCGAAGCACTTCCTCGAAGGAAACTCACCGCCGTCCCCGGCGAGGCAATCGAAAGACTAAGCATTGTGGCTATGGCGGAAGAAGAGGAGTGTTGTTTACTCGGGAATTTTGAGGATAACGAATAAATTCTCGGGATAAGGCTTCTCTTATATCTTTTTGTCTGCCCCTGTATTTACCTTTAATTACGAAATGATCCCAATTTGCAAATAGGAGTCGGATTGTTTTTAATAATTAGGATAAAGTCCCGATATTTACTACAATTACAAATATTCCCCATAGGTTTCAGTGAATGTTTAGAAATTTTAAAATACTCGAGATGATGATGAATAACACAACTCGAACACACACTTATGTATTATTTATCTATTGGGAACCAAGTTATATATAATCAAACAAACATCCGAAAAACTTGTCTCTTTAAAAGCTACAAAGTACAAATTTTTGCACCCGGAAAACGAACGCCGCCTCCATATTTTTTGATATTTACAACTTATCAGTACATGTTTCTTAAATTTCCTGATTCCGCCGCAGAATAAAAAATAATCATCAGCAGCAAACCCCCCCCCCCCCCACATTTTATTCCGAGTAAAGTCCTCTGTTTTCAAGATGCACTCATCTTCATTCTTGATACTAGTTTGTTTGGTTTCACAAAAAACTCAAAATCTATGTTGGTTCACGATGTCTAGTTGCCCAGCTCGAGCTCAAGGCTCTAAGCCGTTGAAAATACTCACCAAGAGCCAATAAACCTCGAGCCGCTTGTCGCGTGGTCAAGATCCGATGCATTTGTAGCAATGTCTCATGTCTCAAATGATCAGCCTAAGAAACAGTAGAAACAAATGAAGAAACTGATACGAAGATTGACATATTAAGATGTGTTCTAATTATTAAAAAAAAAAAAGCTTTAATAAGTATCATTACCTGGTTTACAAAACTGACCAAAGCTTCTAGTCTCTCCATTGCAGAATTAACCTGAGGAATGTAACTTCCTTCGCCGAGTTGTCCCGCAGCAACGCAATCAGCAAGCGTGTGTTGCAGCTTCTCCATACCTTGAGAAAGCGCATCTTCCGCTTGCTGACACGATTGTCTAAGATTGCATACATCTAGAATCTGTTGATCCGTCAGTATATCAAAATGTGGCAAAAGAACCTGCAAAAATAATCAAGAACACAATATTTGTTAGTCTCTTTTCTCTCGATTCAACAACAAGATTACGTGATTCTTCTTCTTCTTTGTTTTCATGTTTTATCAACCTTGAGAAGATCAGAGGGTCGAAATCCGCCAATCCACAAGAAAAAACGTTCTGCAGAAGTTTTCCACATCCCTGACATGACGAAGAAGACATCGGATTTTGCGGCGGCTGATTTCATCCGGAAAAGCTCAAAGTAATGTTTCATGGCGGTTTCGACCAGCAAACGAAGCTCGGCATCGCTAACATGTCCGTGCAAAGCCGTTCTTAGTTCGCATATCTGTCTGTTCTGTTCTTCAACCCAATGTCCGTATTCCATCTCAAATGCAGCAATCCCTGTATATATATTATTACACCATTATATCTTGATGTTCAAAATTCTGATTCTTGTAAAAAAACACTCATCTGTTCTTGAGTTACAAACCTGGATTCATGGTTTCCGAGAAACCGAGAGGGTTAGTATCTATACCATTCCCAACGTAGAATCCCTGGTTTCATCCAATTTTTCCTATCAGAATTTGCTATATATCTTTCGGAAATCAAGAAGAAACAGAATATAGACATCGATTCATCAACCTGTTGTCTAGCACGATCGAGTTCTTGCTCTAATTGTATTAGCTTCAACCGGCTTGTTTCCAGCTGCTGAACGTAAGCCTACAAAACAAAAATAGAAGAAACTCCCATTGAAGAAGATAACAGAAACGAGGTTAAAAGGTTATTTTTTTTAAGAATGTCATAAGCTTTTCATACCTTCTTTCGCAAGCGACTTTTCCTAGCAGCCTCGCGGTTTTGCGCAAGCCGTCTCTGTATCTGAAACGATACAAAGATTCAGTCTATAAGATCAGCAGAAAATAAACAAGGATTAAATACAAGTGATAGAAGCAATATTAGTAATTACCTTATCAGGATGTCTGGACGTGGAAGCTTCTTGATCAAACATGTGAGGAGTTCCTGCTGTTCCATGTGAAGTATCCTCTGACTAGAAAACAAACAAAAACAAAAAATGGTTTCAACTTTCAGCAATGAAAGCTTTTGGATTTCTGAAAGTACGAAACTTTATCATCAAGAAAGATACCAAGTTGTTGTCTAGTTTCTGATGATTCGGTATTATAATGTGGCTTGGAGTGTTCATATTTCCATTGCCAATATTGCTCTTGAAAGTTTCCCCCCACATACCAATTTGATGTAGAGGCTCGTATATCCCAACTCTTCTCGGTGGCACGAAATGTGTCGATGTTGAATTCATGCTTCCCTTAACTGAGCAATTCAGAAAAAAAATTACAAAGTTGTTAACAGTGTGGAAAAGCATATTATATAAACCAAGCAAATCAAGAATTCCGAAGAAGCAATCGGAAAAGATAAGCATTAGGTCTCATCAAAAGTTAGATCACACTAGTAAAGAAAAGAGTAAAAATGGTGGTGTAATGTTTCTTCACAAAATTCTTCAACGAAAACAGGACGAATATAACTTTTTTTAAAAAAAACTTAAATTCCAGAGATTTCAGGACAAGAAGAAATCTGAGAGGGCATAGAGATTCCCTAAGATCTTGGAGAACACTAAAAGATCACAAGCGAAACATATGTTGTAACAACAGCTAAAAGAACATAAAGGTTGTACCTTTTTTAAACTCTTCTACCTCCTCTCATATATCTCCTACAATCTATATTAACCTACACACCGATAAAAACAGATGATCGAAACTTGCCTGCCTAGTTGCCTACCCAAAGAAAAGAAGGGAAAAAAAAAAACCTATCCTCAATTGTATTTGGATATTTGCGTTAAGCAGATAAAAAGCTTCAGAAGTCAAGTTTCCATTTATTGGGAATGTCACTTTACTTCAGCACTAACGGTGGACCAACTTAACAAGATTAACAGTAAAACACTCCTTAAAAAAGAAAAGAGGAATTCTCATTCTAATGGTGTATGGAATTCTTGTACGCAACTATAGAAGAAAGGTGATATCAAAATAAGAGATAGCATCGAAAAGCAAAAGCCAATCATGAAGTCAAACACACATATTTAGAAGTGGAGATAGATTGCAAAAAGTTCTTATACAATACAGTTCTGCGCAATATTCGAATCAGTTTCAGCTTCAATTCCAAGCAACCAAGCATATCAAATTGGATTAATCATCGGGTTTATACAATCAATCGAGAGAGAAAAGGGAAACAAAACTAACCAAAAAAATCAATAAGAAAAAAGTTTTAGACTTCTTATTAAGTGTTAACAAGATTAGAATAGAACAGAGTAAAGTCAAAGTATGGATTTTGATCCCAAAAAAACGACGCCGAGAAATCTCTGACTTTTCACCTTTTTGCTCTCTCGCTTTCATTAAGGAAAAATCAAAAACAGAGAGATCTAAAGCCGAACCTTCTGGAGGCGACTTGAAAAAGGCGAACTTTTATCGCGAAAACCATGAAAGGAAAAAGAAGAAGATTTTAGCGACAAGATCCGACGTAAAGCCAAGAAGTCCGGAGTTCGAATTCAACAGTAAACAGAAGGGATTTCAAAAGCTCTTCCTTGTGTCTCAGAAACTCGAGTCTCAACATCTTGAAGAAGAAGAAGAAGAATTATGCGAGAACACGACAACTTAAATGAGACCTTTGACGGAGTTATTTAAAATTTCTCTCGTCAAATAAATACATTAATATATATACATACATATCTTTATCAACTGATAAAAATACGATATACTGTATTTGTTTGTGGGTTCTCGGTGATTTTTGTCTTTAAGCATAACGCAGCTACAGAGAGTGAAAACTAAAAACCAATTATTTCTTTGACTTTGGAAAAAATATAGACGACTAATCCTTTTTGTGGACAATACCATTTTATCACGTAAATTTTTGTTCAGATTGGTGCGAAAAGAAGAGAAAAAGAAAAAAGACAAACTGTTTTCCGCACCAAATAAAATTGATGAAAGCAAAAAAAAAAACAAAAAAAAAATTGATTACCAGCTAATTGATATGTACAGTTCGAATCTTAATATTCATAAAATAAAATTGATTAAATTAAATGTATTTGCTAGTTATTCGTTTTTTATTCAATCGTCATGTCTCCACTACCTCTCTCGCTGATGTGCGCACCAGGTAGATCCATTTTTGTATTCTCTTATATAAATTTTTTGTATTTTTATTTTCTACCTTGCGCCCTGGTCTGCTTCTCTAACCTGCGCAAACGTTGCGGTAACGTGAGATTCGCTAAACGCGCGTGTGTTGGAACTTGGAATACTATAACAACATGATTTTCGCGGGAACGAATTTAGCGGTTTAAGCGAGGGAAGAAATGAGCGTGTAATGTATAATCGCGGTATCGCGAGTGGATGTATAGAGAACCGAGATTCTACTTCGATTCCGGTGACGTAATAACGGCTACTTCTAAATATAGTATAAAATATGTATTAATACTCTTTTTTTATTTTTATTAATACTCTTTTTTCCCCCAGCAAGCTCTTATTTATCTCTTATTTATACTTGTAAACGCAAAAAGAGTACTGATGTTTATCCAATTATTATAGCTGGCTCAGTAATATTTAAAATTCATCTATAATCAAGAAAATCTTTTTTTCTCAGCAAGTAGTTATAATCTATTACATGCTGATAAGCGAACGACAAGCATGAATTGTTCTAAACAATAAACGTTTATTTAATGTAAAATGTAAGAAGAAATCATTAAAATTCCGCTGTACCACACAGCACCCATGTTAATTCAAGAAGAGTAAAGTCAAAAAACAAAAGATATTAGCAATTTTGTTTTTGATATTTTTCAGCTGCATTCGTAGTAGCTAACTGGAATTGTTTCAATTAATGGAATGTAGTTAGTATTTTAATTTGTATGGCAAGAAAGATCCGTGTATTCTTCTTTATTACTAATAAAAATTATAACAGTAGAATGCGAGTTTAATTTATAAACAATAATGATTATTAGCCTTTGGGAGACCAAACAGGCTAGATCAGTCGAGTTAATTAGGTAAAGGAAACACCTAATTAATATTGGACCTTTATCTGATGTATTAAAACAGATTGGCTCTTCAAGCTTCATAGGAGACATTGTGCATTTTTAATAACGATTAAAAAATAATGGTTTGGTTGTGGACATAATGAAAAGTTGTACATGTCTTCGTTGATTCCCACAATTAGATTTAGACCAAAATCACTACACATCAATTGTATCTAGCTTAGAATATAATCAAATGAGATTTTAGATGTGTATACAAAATGTATCTGCTTGCGTGAAATGACCAAGTAATAGTCTGATTAATATCTACTTTCATTTAGTTTTCCTTTTTTTTTTTTTAACAAAAAAATGCATATGTTTATTACAGTTTATAACATTAATCAACCAGAAGAATGCATATATCATCAAGAGTTACGGCTTACGACAATGCATGACGTTAGATGTTTTATGGACATGCATATACATCGAGATAGGAGATAAGTTCTGCAAATTAGGTACAATATTTTGTTTTTCCGTCAACAATTAGGTACAATAAGGACGAGAAATATAACTTTTTCAAATATAAAGATGCATGATCTAATATATTGGATTGTCTAGTAGGAGGAAACTACATACAACAGGATAAGTTTAATAAGTGAATACCAATTTTTAATAATTTGATCTTTTTTTCTGAAACTTCAATCATGCAAATGATCAATGATTCATGTGTAAAGTTACATAATTCATATGGTGGTGGCTTTTTAGCCGTATGATCCATTATGGATGATAGATATTGGTGAATTTCCATTTCACACACTATCGACATATTAAAATACAGCAATATTTATTCGAGTTGGAAAAAATAGAATATTATAGATAAAATTATTAAACGAGAAGATAGAAAAAGAGACGTCAGGCATAAACACTTAGCTTTTGCCTATATTTGTAGAATTATTCTCAAGTGCTATCTTATAAAGTGGTTTGCCACCACAAGTGGCTACCTCGTGCCTGGATTTTCACTCCTTTTTATTCATAATTTTGGCTTAAACGAGGAGGTTAATCCCATCCTTGTAATTAAACATAAATAAATGAATTCCAAATTAAATTATTTGTTTATTTTAACAAAAAGAATAATGGCGTTAGTTAGCGATAGTGATACTACATGAGTGGTCGTATTCGTAATAAAAAATAGAAAAAAATTACTGAAATATTGTGGTTAAACAAAATTTTTATCATTGCAGATTATAAATTACAAAATTTCGATCTATGTAGCCGTTAGAAAAATGCAGAATCACATAGTTAATAATTTACTATTCTTACATTTGCCTTAATATATTCTAGAATTACCCTGAGCTGGTCTTCATGTAGAGAGTTTTAAAAGTAATAGCTTATGTAATTTTACAAAATACAAGACATTGACAGTTTATCATTTGCATAACTCAATGGTCACACACATACATAAATGACACATTGGTAGAATTGCAACCAATGAATTGGTATAACAATTTACGTTTTTGTACGGATATAGTGATATTAACAACATGAAATCTAATTATTGATTTGTAAATCGAAATCTATGTTTACCTTCATAGACTGTAGATGTCAATTAAAAAACATTGATTTAGTGAGTACAGGTTGATAGAACTGGATCCATGCAATAGCACGTGCGTGCGCTTAAAGGAGATGCAATACCAATTGGATAATTAATGAAAAATTATGCCAAACTTTTATTAGATAATTGTTTAGGGGCGTTAAAAGAACTTAGAAGTAAAACAACCTTTGGCCCCCATCGTTAGACCATATCCGATTGATTATATAATAGTATAATATTATGATCCTTGTGACCAGTGACCACAGATATGTGCTCATGTATAACAGTATAAGCATATATGCGAGTGTTGATTGATAAGACGTTTTGGGTCATTGTTTGCGTCATACGACCATGTCACTTTATTTTTATTTTTTTGGTCAAGACCATGTAACTTAATTAGGTTTATATTCTTAAAGTAATTTTTAATAGTTTAATATGTAAATGGTACAGCGATATCAATAGCGTTGTATTGGCAAGCTAATACCAAATCTTATTAAAGAATTCGAGTGCTTTAAGAATTATTCGAGAAGAGATTCTCCATAAAGAAAAGAAAGATTACCCAGCAAATGAGAATACTAATTAGAATATTTTTAAAAACGGATTAATAAATAAGTCATGGGATCCATGCCCCTACGGGGCTCGGAAAAGACTTCATAGAAGTAGATCCCACTTATCCACTTAGGTGTAAAGGTGTCATGCTTTAATTAGTTGAGTAATACACTAAATACTTTAGATAAATATTCGAAACTAATGTCAGCTACTAATCTATACATGTTTCCAATCGAAATTAGACTCCTAATAGTCGACAAACACAAAAACAAAAGGACTTCTAGTCGTCTAAGCATTCGACCTGTTCTGTTCAACAAAATGAAAATCGTGTAAGCGTTTGACAAAAAGTTATCGTCTACGCATTTTGGATAATCTTTAGAATTATATACGTAGCTTTAAAATATATTTACAAAATTATTAAAATAATTAATACTACGTGATTATAACGCAAAAATATGGTACGGCCTTCCGGGTAGAAGACTTACAAATAAAGAATACAGGAGAAGCTAACTAGGAGAAGACAAAAAATAAATTCATAAATTAGTACAGTTTACTATGTGGAATATTAGTTTCAACTTTCTTTGTTCTTTCGACAACAATTTGTAATTTCATTTATGATATACACCGATATATACCGAGATAATTTCGAAAATACAAGTAAAAGTTTTTGTAGGAACACAGAAAGAGAGAAAAAGTTGAAGTAATTAACGGAATTGGAAACTATTAGTCTATCACGATTTAAGATTACCTCGTTTTCTTCTCTACGTTTACTTTTCTTTTGGATTTATCATATATCCATTAATCCCCACAAGCCTTAATTCGAGGTCATATTGTTTTTTCTTCCACGCATGCTTTTAATCATATGTAATCCCCTTACTCATCATTGTACTCATCAAAAAGAATTACGACATAATCTAGCAACAGAAAAAGTTGTCATAGTGTGTTCCAATCGATCCAATAGAATTTTTAAACATATAAAATACAGAATAAATTGAGACATATGTCAATTTAAAGCGATTATAGATTTGATAAACTTAATATTAATAAATTAACATAAATTAACATTACAAGATTAGAAGAACTTATGGAAAATGATCAAATATATGAAATAGAATAAATTGTTAATTCATCATTTTTTTCTTAAAGTTTATCTCTATTTATTTTATTACATAAAAAGTCGTAGTGTTGATGATGAACTTTGAAAAACAAAAATTTATAACATTATTAATTTATAGAGGTTTTTTGTTAAATTCTCAAATTAAAAGTTTCTATCTATTCTTAATCAGAAATAAATAGCTCACTCAACGATGCACATGTATATGGGAAATAGTAGAATGAGAAAACATTCAAAGTTGGGTCCACTCTTCATCGAATTAGGCCCATGTCATAAATCTGGAAACGATACTAGTATTGATAATTATTGGGCTTAGTTTAGCTATTTAGCTTGAATCAACTTGAGTAAGTATCACAAAACATTAAGAGCTTAATACATTTGTAGCCTGTAGGGTGTCACACTGTCCGACCCATAGTTTTTAGCTTTAACCTGGGACTGAAATTAGCTTGTATTTGAAATACTATGGTGGATTCACATATAATATTTAGAAATAGAAGTTAATATAGTTAATGAGAGATGTTAGTAATAACCATTAACAAAAAAATTAGTTGTAATATATGAATATTGCAAATATTTTACGAAATCTAATTTGACCAAGCTTTTTCTTTTTGAACAGAAACCATGTCTACAATGAAAAAGAATTGTAGTAATCCATAAATCGATGACACGGACCTTGGAAAGCACTCAACAAAGCTTCCACACAAAATTAAAAAAAAAATTAAGCCCTGATTTATTACGACGATAAACCTGACTAATTTTAAAACATTTTCATTGGAATTTAAAGTTATAATAAAACCGACCGTGCCCACCTTCTCACGAAAACCACCTGTACCAACAGATTCGCCACGATTAAAATACCATTAACCAGACTTTATTATATTAATAAAATAATAGTATTAAATTGAGAAATATTGACCGAGCCTTATCCAAAACCGCACGTCAAAGCAGTATAAATACCTCCTGGGTTGAAACTATCCAATATTGGTATAGAACCAGAGATAACCGAACGTGAGAGAGAAGAGATAACCGAAGATAACCGAAAGCAAGAGAGGGAGCAATATCGATCGATTCAATGGCGGACATAGCGATTTTGGTGGCGGAGGAGTACGAGAGGAGGGTGAGACACACGGCGGGTTCGAGATCAGCGTCGGTGGAATTTGATTGGTGGAAGAAGTTTCCGGCGAAGATGACTGTAGGAGTCAACGAGAAGAAGATAGAGAGTTTGATGAAGAAGTTTGAGGCTAAATCTCAGTTTGCTCTCGCCATCTCCAATGGCTTCTTCTCTGCTTGATACCACTTTGTTCATATGTAATTTCGTTTCTTAATCTCTGCTTTTTGTTTTTTCTTTTGCTTTGTGCGTTTTATGTAAATAAGTAAATAGGAACCAATATCTGAATTAATCAAATGTAACTTCTTTCTATTTATATAATCAAACTATGGATATTACTGTCTTCTTTTATCTCGGAATTTGTCTCCTCCGGCGAATCAACGAAAGTGAAAGATAAAGCAAATCTCAGGGGCTTCGCTGCTTACGTGGAAAAACTCCTGGGAAAGAATCCTAAATTTTTAAAACTTGATCATCGTTATGCTGTGTTGAGAAACTTCGGCGTAAATTTTGCAGTTCGACCCTTAAATCCCGGATTTCTTTCAAAAGAAGTATCATAGTTTCTTACGTGTAGGATTACTCCTTGTTTTTAAAATAAATCCCATAGTTGCCTTATCGGAAACATTAGAGAGCGAAGAATGGGAAGCAGCGACGAGATGCCAGTGGTTCTCATCACGGGATGCTCACAGGGAGGAATCGGCCACGCGTTGGCGCGAGAGTTCGCGGCGAAAGGCTGTCGAGTGGTGGCGACGAGTCGATCGCAGAGCACGATGGCCGATTTGGAGAAAGATCCCAAGTTGTTAGTGGAGGAGCTCGATGTTCAATCGGAGCAGAGCGTGAGCAATGTTTTGTCCAAAGTTATCGACAATTTTGGTCAGATCGATGTTCTCGTCAACAACGCCGGAGTTCAATGTATCGGACCTCTGGCGGAGATTCCGATTTCAGCCATGGAAAACACCTTCAACACCAATGTCTTCGGTGAATCACGATATTCCACCACGTGTTTGTTAGAATTCCTGACTCAATTTTTAATGCAATTCAAACTCTTTCCCATTTCTGATTTTGCTATTGCATTGACTGACTTTTAACTCAGTGAACTTTCTAATGATTTGGGCTGTGACAAAAGTCTTTCAAGAACTGAACTTTTCTAGAGCGATTTGCAGGTTCCATGAGGATGACTCAAGCTGTTGTACCTCACATGGCGTCTAAGAAAAATGGAAAGATTGTGAACATAGGAAGTATCAGCATAATGGCACCAGGACCATGGGCTGGGGTTTATACTTCATCAAAAGCTGCTCTTCATGCTATTACAGACACATTAAGGTTTCTCGGTTTCAGCAATCTCTTTTCATCAGATTGATTCATTATCATCTAACACTAACTTGTTTTGAATGTGTTCGTCTCTTCTCCTAAGGTTGGAGCTCAGGCCATTTGGGATTGATGTAATCAACATTGTCCCAGGAGGTATTAAATCAAACATAGCCGACTCAGCGATAACGAGCTTCAACAATTTACCTGAACTGAAACTATACAAACCGTTCCAGGAATCTATCCGTGAGAGGGCGTTTTTGTCGCAGAACATTAAGCCAATACCAGCAGAGACATTTGCGAAGGAGACTGTGTCCGTAGTGCTGAAGAAAAACCCACCGGCTTGGTTCTCTACAGGACGGTTATCCACAGTCATGGCGATCATGCACCATATGCCCATTTTCATCAAAGATTTTCTCCTGACTAAGAGCTTTATGAAAAACGGATCAAAAGCTACTAAGTAGTAGACTTCTTGGTTAAACGAAACTGTTTAAATATATCCAACAAGTAAAAATGTTGACAGGCTAGATACAAGCATAGAAATTATATATTTATAATTGACCATAAGCCCGAAGTAGCCCAAACTCCAGTAAGCCCATGTCTAACCCCAGAAATAGCCCAAACACACCAGGTAATAAAACTATCTAAAGCTTCCTAAAGTTAAGAATGGTGTGGAAATCTTGTGTTCTTTTTAAGAAAATCAATATACTATGCATTAAACTCAATTATAAATTCGAATTTTAGTTGAATTATCAAGATTACATTATAAATTGATCAATTACAGAAAATAAATTATTCACGTGCACAGTAAATTTAGACTACTCTTGATAAAAGAAATTTAGATAGTTACTATGTTCTAGTTATTATGTTCTGACCAAGAAAAAAGATAGTGATTATGTTCTTAATTAGTAATTTGAACAATTGACCCTGAAAAAGAAAGCAATGAAGCGTTCTCAGAATGCATGAACTATCAGAGAGCGAATACAGTATTCCATGGTCCACGCATGTTAATTTTTACGGTCAAGATTTTCGAAAATATTAAAATGTCAAAGTTAAAATTTAATCATAAAACAAAAGAAAAAGAAGAAAGTCAGTAGGCCACAAAGTCCTTCAGTTCAGGAGGAAGAAGACGATTCTCTTTCATCTCATCTTTTTTTTTTCTTCTTCGTCCCAAAAATTCTCGAAGGCACGAAAATGGATGAAAATCCCTAATTTTCCGAAACACCAAAACCCCAGAGAGAGTTTTCAGAAATCATACTCACAACGAATTTCTGGCCGTTGATTTTTGCAGATGGGTAAAAGCGGACGGCTCAGATGGAACCCTTTCAACCACAGATCGTCTTCTTCCTCCTCATCTTCAAGAGGACAACAGGACCAGCAGCAACAGCAACAACCTCCCGTCGAATTCCTCTGTCCGATTTCAAAGTCAATAATGTCTGACCCAGTTGTTGTCTCTTCCGGTCAAACCTTCGAACGGGTCTGTGTTCAAGTCTGTCGCGACCTAGGCTTTGTACCCAAACTCGACGACGACGTTGACGACTCTCGACCCGATTTCTCAACCATAATCCCCAACCGGAACATGAAATCAACCATCGATGGTTGGTGCGATAGCGTCGGCGCCGAGAGACCTCAGCCGCCTGATTACTCCGCCGTCGAGAGGAATTTACGGCAACAGATGCCGTCGTCGTTAGATGTGGAGATTCGTGTCTCCGAGCAGGAGCTTCTCAGAGCGGTGGCGGACCGAGCTCCGATGATGATTCACCACGCTGACTCCGAGGTCATGGGACGGAGGAGACCGGCGGGAGATTTCAACTCCACGAGCTCTTCTGACGAATCAGTAATCGTCGTTCAAAGCCCATTCACTCCACTTCCTCTAACGACCCGGCCCGCTTGCTTCTCTCCGTCGTCTTCTTCTTCCGAAATCGAAACCCTCCTAACACAGGACAATTTCTCCTCTCCTTCAAATTGTCCCGAAGAGGAAGAGATCTACAACAAGCTTAATAGCACTGATATATTCGATCAAGAGCAAGGTCTGATTATGATGAGAAAAATGACTCGAACCAAAGACGAGGATAGAGTCTCACTTTGTTCCCCTCGGATTCTCGCTCTGCTCAAGAACATGATTGTTTCGAGATACAGCCTAGTGCAGACGAATTCTCTAGCCTCGCTCGTGAATCTATCGCTGGAGAAGAACAACAAACTGACGATCGTACGGTTAGGATTCGTTCCACTTTTGATCGACGTCTTGAAATCGGGAAGCAGGGAAGCGCAAGAACATGCCGCAGGGACAATCTTCAGCCTCTCATTAGAAGACGACAACAAAATGCCGATCGGAGTTTTAGGAGCGCTTCAGCCACTGCTCCACGCTTTACGAGCAGCAGAGAGCGATCGGACGCGTCACGACTCAGCTCTCGCGCTCTACCACCTGTCACTGAACCAGACGAATCGATCGAAGCTCGTCAGGCTCGGAGCGGTGCCGGCGCTTTTCTCGTTGGTCAGGTCCGGTGAATCGGCGAGCCGAGCGCTGCTGGTGATATGTAACTTAGCTTGCTGTAGCGAAGGACGATCGGCGATGCTGGATGCGAACGCAGTGGCGATTCTCGTAGGGAAGCTAAGGGAGGAAGGAACGGAGGAGTCTCGTTCGTCTTCATCGGCGCGCGAGAATTGTGTGGCGGCGCTGTTCGCGTTGAGCCACGAGAGTCTTCGATTCAAGGGGTTGGCGAAGGAGGCTAGAGTAGTGGAGGTGTTGAAGGAAGTGGAAGAGAGAGGAACGGAGAGAGCGAGAGAGAAAGCGAAGAAGATTCTTCAGTTGATGAGAGAGAGAGTGCCCGAGGAAGAGGAAGAAGACGGCCAAGGATCCGTTGATTGGGACAGAGTCATCGACTCGACCGGTTCGATTCGGTCGAGATTCCAAGCGGGAAGAAACCGAATGATCACTCAGAATTCTTCTGGCTTCTAATTCTAAGATGAAAACAAAACAAAAATTTGAAATTTGATATATGCTTGTGATTAATTTTTTTGTAACCTTGTGTCTCGAAAAGAATTGAAAAAAGAGCATGAGTGATGTAAATACGTGTTTTGAGCATTTTGTAATATAAATTTTTAGAAATCCAAATCTGCGTAAGCAATCTTGGATTCAAATGTTTCACTAACGAGTGAACTTCTTGTTTTATAATCAGCTTTATTTCCTCGTTTTCCAACTTAAATGTACACACAAACATAAAGTGTTTATGAATTTATTTGAGACAATTGGTCTTCACTATTTAACGTTAACATCAAACAAACAGTAGATTAACTAAACAGCTTTTGTTACAATGATTTGTAAGACAAAAGATTACATTTCTACTTTCTACAATGCATCATCAAATAAAGAAAGTGGGTCAGCAACTATCTAAAACTAAAACTAATCAGACTTAAGGAAAATATTAAAAAAAAAAAAACAGCTAAGAATGGTGTGGAGGTCCAAAATACATGATACCAGGTGGCTGAAAACTCAGACCTTGTTGCGATTGTGGCTGAGCTGCGGTTGGTTGATTACTGATCAAATGTGGCGGCAACGGTCCAGGCGGCATTAACGGAATGTTACCAAACCCATAAGGTAAAAACTGTTGTTGCGATGCGGCTGCGTTCGGGATCATATGATGATACTGAGGATTCGGAGGAGCAAATGCATTTGTGTCTGAACTATTTGATTTGGTTAAACCTGAAGTCTGTGTAGCCTCGGCTGCAAATGAAGACAAAACTGAATGCATTATCATTGATGAATTCGTTGATGCAGTTAGCATTGCAGCGATTGACGCAGGTGTGATCTTCCCTGATTGACCAGATGTTCCCTTGTTGTTTTTAACCGCTGTTTCGTCACTGAGCCGTTTCTGCAAGTTTTGAGCTTCTTTGGTCTGTTCTTGCGCTACCTGGAGAATACGAACAAGAATTGGTGATTCATGAAATACCATTTTGACATCAAGATTGCCTACTTTGGGTTGACCTTACCTGTATCTGAGATTGCAGATTCTCCAATTCAGATTTCTGACACAGAAAACTCAGTAAGTAATTGAAATGTCCAAGCAAAAATAATTGAACTTGCAAGAGTGAAAAAGGCTTTAACTTGTTCACGTAGCGCTTCTTTAAGATGATGTACGAGGGATGTTCTGCATTCCTCAACAGATTTAAGTTTCTCAACAGATTGCCTCAGAATATTTTCTTCTTCTTCCAATTCTTTTGCCAATGTTTTTCTCTTCGGATCTTTTGCTGAAGACATTCAAAGACTCAGAACCAGTATGTGTTTCATAGACCCCAACGCAAAATAGAAGACTGTTTGCTAATATTTATTACCAGTGGAGCAGGCATCTTCAACATCTTTCTCCATCTTTCGGATACGTTTAACTGCAGATTTGCATTTGTTCATCTCTGTCTCTTCGTTTGAGTTCTCTGCACGAACCATATTAAATGCAGATACTATCTTCTCCGTTATACCTCCGTTTGATAATTTCTGGTAGCAAAAAAGAAGCAAGTGGGGAGATATTAAATCTTAGGTAAGACTGAGAAAACTCCCCAAAACAAATAAGTACGGTTTGATCAGAGAAACATATTTGTATACCGTTTTGGCAGATTTTGAATCCCGTTTAGCATATTTGGATCCCCGTGATCGCTTTTTACTGACATCAAGTGGTGGAGGAGCTTCTTTTGAGAGCATTACATCTCTAAGTCTCTTTGAACGGGACCCGAAGACTCTTCTCTCTTCCCATATAGTAACCTAATAATCACGAAGTATCATTCTTGAACCAGCAAAAGACTCCCAAGAACGTAAAACTTTTTCAATAACTAAGAGAACCAAGCATTAAGCTATTACATAAGACCCATATTTCATTCAAACAATCAAAAGTACAAACACCAATAAGCTAAAGTACTTGAACCAATGAATCCAAAACTTCGAAAAACATGTCCTTTCGCCAATCACTCAACATACTCATTCACAATGGTTTACTAAATCCAAAATCCTAATTAAGCACGCAACCAAAGAATTAAAAAAAAAACGCCAACTCCACTGCTATTCATTTACCAATCTCGAGACCAGGCCTTTTCTACGGTCATCTCCCAAGGAAACAAGATCTTTGAGAGCCCCAGGGAGTACTTTCCAGAACTCTTGCACGAACTCGTTACCCTGACGCGTGCTGTTCTGAATAATGTCGTTCGCAAGGTACAAGAGAGGCACTTTCTGGACCATCTCGGTACTGTGAAACTGTTTTTCCCATGTCGTAACCACTAACTCAGCTTCGTTACGATGGACTATACACCAATGTGATAGAGCTTATCCAAAAAGGGTCAAGAACCAAACAATCAGAATTTCAATATAGTAAACCCACATATGTAATCAAACAATAAGATGTCAGATTTAAGTAGACCTTTTAAAAAAAAAAATGAAATTGGAATGTTTTCTTGCTTCAAAAAAAGGATACTTTGGATGGATTGCTGAGTGCTGTTGAGCTTGGCTTATCAATCAGTATCTCTTCACTAAATTCACTACTCATCCCAACCCAAATCAAGAACGAAAAACTCTAGAAACAAGAAGAAGACAGTGATCTCCAAAGAAAATGGAGAAGAACTGAAACCCTCAATGGTAAGGCTAAAACAAAAAGTGATATTGATACAGTTTGGCGGAAGCAAGAACCTATTTCTTATATATCAACGGAAAACCCGGGAGCGGAAGATAAATCTCAAGGCGGAGCGTAAACCAAAACCTAAAGTAGAGAGGTGGAGAAGACGAAGAAGACGACTTTGACACACGAATCAAGCCCTAATCCTTAGAGAGAAACAAGGAGCGATAACCACAGGGAAGAAAATCAATGAAGGTGTTCTCTTTCCCTTTGTTCTCAGTTCCTAACACCATCAGTTTCTTATTTCTTATTTCATTTCCCGTTTTCTTTTATTTCTTCACTTTTTTTTTTCTCTGAATGATTAACCAGCAAGAAAAAAAAAAAAGTTTTTTAGCTATGGAGACCATAGTTATGCAATCTGGGCGTGTTGACGAAAACGAATGTTCTTGGGCCTAAATTTGATATAATGGGCTTATTATTCCGTATCTGGGCGACGAGATCTAAGCATTTAGGCCCAAGTCATATTTTTTGCTAAGAAAAAGGGGTTGGAATTGATAGTATTGCATTATGTGGATGTGCCCCCCAATATGTAGAAGAACCATTTTGCATTTTATGACCATCATCTTCTCGTTCAAGAAGAGTCATCCCCAAGAAGTTCTGATTTCACACACAACACGAAGAAGCCATTCCCAACCTCCCCAAAAAAAAGAGAAAATTTTGAATCGACGTAGTAAAGTAAGGTGTATAAAAATGGGTCGTATTGGAGAAATTTTCAACGAATTTTGTTTTTTTTCTTATTAGTCTGAAAATTCGACAATTATTTTGTTTCATTTCCAAAAAGTAGGAAAAAAAAATGTTGAGAAGTCAAAATCTTTCGCGTCTCCAACATAATGAATAAAGACACCTACACTGGACAGGATCAGCTGTGGTTTGGTTTCATGGGAGACAAATCTATTTCGATACCACGAACGAAATACATCTAAGCCTAGAACCTAAACATATGAAAACGTGATTATTATTTTATAGAGCATGACTATGACTAGGGCTTTGAATGGGATGCAGCAAAAACACAGAGTAACTGAATATAAGGATCATCTGCATTTTATTTACCATTCATATCTTAAAAAACATAGATCAAAATTACAATAAAAAATTGATAATCTGCATGCTGATCTTTATTACACTGAATAAAAAATGAACTGCATCATTTTTGAACATGTTCACCCAGTTCTGTATTTTTTTATATTTTCTAATTATTTTATTTATTTATATTTATGTTTTATTGATATGCATAGTTTGATTGATTTGTATTAATTCTATTTCATTTGCATAATCTGTATTATTCCATATTTGTTCACCCATTGGAAGCCTATATACGTTCATTAGAGTTTATAAACTAAACAAGAAGTCAAGCATCACAAATGACCAAATGAATATAAAGCTGATTATATTAGTATTATATTAACCAAATGACTAATATTTTGTTGCTGTCTAATCAGCTGATATAGCGTTGGAGTTGACATTTCCCCTACTTTATGGACATGATTGTCCGATTTACATGAATATCGAGAGTAATGGCCCCCTTAATTCCCTCAATTCGAAAACCGTAAACCTAATCTATTGATTTAAAACGTTATTATAGGGTCCAAATTTGACGTAAAGTCGATTATTAGTGGGGAAATTGTATCTGTTTGAGTATAGATTTTATATATAGGGATAAGTGTAATAGATGGTAATGAATAAAAAGGTTTCTACCTTTTCAAAATTTACGAAATCGGTAAAGGGCAAAATAGTGGGGGCGAAGCTACTGCTAAAAAGGCCTGTCCTGTCGTGCCTATGAAAAACGCATTATATAATTTTACAACTTTCTATTCTTTTTTTCTCGACTAGTGGATCTTGTACTAAAATACGTATAGTAGTTTTAGAATTTTACAGTTTAGATGAAATTCGCAATTACACTTACATAGAAAAAAATCCAAAAAAATGAATTACTTTTTTGTATATACGATGATTTCAACTAATTTGATTCCGATATTTTTCATAAACTTAAGAAATTTTGAAAATATATTAACTTTTTTATTTGTATGACGTAACTACAGATCGTCATCGTATATTCATACGAATTATATAGATATATGAACGTGAAAACATCATTGCAAAACAACAAAACTGAAAACTGCTTTTGTTTTTCCTTTTATTCTCTCTCTATCTCTCGTGTTGGGATATAATTGTTTGCCCCCTAAATCTTCTAAAAATCCTTTGCCTAATCATTTGGATTTCCAATCTCCATAAAGAGACATAAAGAAAGATAGTTTTATTTCACAAAAATCCATGTTTTTTCAATCATCAAATTTGTATATCTAATTCATAAAACTGATAGATATGCATCGAAAGGTTTTTTCCTTTTTCTTAAGTTGCTTACTCTACTTTATTGGCTTTTCTAAAAGCATTTGTAAATAATTAAGTGGGAAAATGCAGGGATCCTTTGAATTAATAAAACGAGGAAAATTTAATTTATACCTCAAGGTACAAAAAGAATATAAGATCAGAGATCTTCTTATATCAATCAAAGCCTAGTTTCCCCGAAACACTATCGTTTCATGCGGATTCGTGAAGAAAAGTGCAAATCTGACTGACATCTCTTTTTTTTAACTGAACTTAAATCTTTTCTTCAAAGTGAAAAAAAAAACTGACAAGCTATTTTGGCGAATATGTGTATTGATCTCACCAATGATGATGGAGCAACACGAAATATAGAGAATGATTGTTAAGTTAAAAACCAAAATTAACTCTGTTATGTTTAGTACATTTCTATCTACGAATAAACTCTTTAGCCTTTGCTTTGACAGGGAAGAAGAAGAAGAAGAAGCTGAAATCATAATCAAGAAGACAGGTTTTGATTTGTTTCTATGTAATTGAAATAATTAAACGTTGCTTACATGTGAATCGCCCGATAGATGTAACCATCGAAATTTTTGGTTTCACGTAATAATGATGGCCACAATTAAGATTAAAGAAATTACGGGACATGACATTGTGACGTACTGAATGACGTGTGTTCAAATGTCGATTTATGATGACACGGCGATTTAATATATCTTTTTTAAAAAACTAGCTTATATTAATACAAAAATTCAAGGAGAAAAAAAATATTGAGAAATGTCTTCTGAGTTTGAAATAAACACGACGATGAAATTTAGGATGAGCGGCGGCTAATGATCCCCTAGATCTCGCCACCAATCACTCTCTCTCTACATATTTTCTTTATATTTCTAGGCAAATAAACTAACAATGTTTCATAGGTCCGAAATGTTTTTTTTTAGGGCTCATACATAACCCTAGTAACAAGATACTGTACCAGAGAGCTAACATTTTTCTCTCAAAATAAAAGCATGTTATTTGGGTTCTTTGTGAGATAAATATTCATGTATAGACATGCTTCTTTAATTTTTTTTTATTTCCCATAACTGAATGAAATTTCAAATTATACCACGAGGCCATTGAAATTTCAAACTATACTAACCTCGAGCCGATGATCAAAATCAAACATATCTGTAAATATTGTCCAGTTCTATATATACACACATCCAGTCCAATAAAAACCGAAACAGCATTATAGAAAGGAAAGAAAGAAAGAAAAAAACATTGTTCGAATATGTAGAAAGTCATTGTTAATTATACCATTGAAGCTTTAGAACATAAAAGATTCCCAATTCTTTCCATACACTAATTAATTCATGTCCCATTCATCAGATGTTTTTCGCTAAGGTTTTCTTTTCCTTTTTTTTATATATGGCTAAAGATAAATACGATCATATATAATGTGATAAACAAAGTTAGAATTGAATCTAATCAGGAGAAGAGATCCATGATAATTCCACCATACCTTCATTTCTCGCCACCGCTAGATTATTCTCCGATCCAGAAGCAATGGGCGGTGTGTAACCATCGGATCTTTGCACAATGGAATGATCTCCACCATTGAGGGATCTAAAGAGATCATTGTCATTCTCGGCTTCAGAATTCTTGCCCGATCCATGAATAATATTTAGGGTTGACTGCGTCATCGATGACGACGAAGAGACGATAATATCGTGAAGTCCTTCAAAGCTTGTTCCAACGTCCACGTGTCCAAAACCATTATTCGTTCTCAAGCTCAACGATTGCTCGAGCAAAGGTTTCGGCTTTTCCATAGAAGTGGCTGGTCCGTTAAAGGGTTGTTAGGACTTTGGTTGTTGAGAAAAGGGTTTGTGATGTTTTGGGTGTTCGTGTTATGGAGAAGACTCTGATGACGATGATCATGATGATAATCTGGAGAAGTAGGAAGGTAATGATGATGATTTACCGTCGATGAAGACACGAGTTTGTGAGGAAAGGGTTTCAAGGGTCGTGAGGATGAAGAAGAAGAAGAACCGAAGAGATCAAATCTTGATCTTGGAAAAGGAGAAGATGACGATAATCCGGTGAAAGGAGTTGAAGGATTACCGGTGAATTCTTGAACCATGGCTCTGAAGTTTGAAGTGTCGGTAGTCAAAACAGTCGTAGGCGCTCGTCTCGAGACTCGAGATCTTTTCTTCGGATTTCGTGTCGCCATGTTGTTAAGACCGTTTTTCTTGTCTGCTGGGACGGAACAAACGGGACTAGTTGTGTTTGTGTTGTTTGAAACTGTTCTCAGATTTTGTTGGAGTGGGTTTGTGAAGAAGACTGGTTCTGATGAGATCGGTAGTGGCGGTCTAGGACTAGAGACATCGGTCGGCTTTGTAGTCGTCGCTGACCAAAGAGAGTTATCGGTTGACCAACCCGTGTTGAAGTAGTTAGCTATGAGAGAGTCAAGCTGTGTTTGACCGGCGATGTTGGAGGAGACGGTGGTTGTGTTGTTGTTGTTGAAGAAAGCAGAGATTGATTGATCGGCGCGTGAGTCGTATTCTTCCTGATCTCCTCCGCCACCACCGCTTGAGGATTGCATGCTACTACTGTTGCCTGAATCCATGGCAGAGAAGGAGAGATGATGGTTTCCAGAGAGAATAATGAGACTGAAGGAGAGGGTTATGATGGTTTTTTTGGTTGCAGAGAAACTTCAAAAGGAGGAGGAGAGTGTGAAAGGAATTGATGGTTGTGTGGGGAGAGAAAAGCCAATAGAAAGTGGACAGCTTTTATTTTTTCTTCTTCTATAACTGTTAGTTTTTATTCTACTAACCTTTTGTTTCCCTTTTTCCTTTACTTGAAACTTGAAACTTTGAATTTTGAAATGTGAAAACTAGGGTTAATTACATTTTGGTGTATAAAAAAAAGGAATGAAAGAGAGGTAGGGTAATAGAATTATGCTTTTCTTTTCTTTTCATCGTTCACAAGGCACAAGGCTCGTAGTACACCTCATAACCTGTTGAAATTATAAAGTACACCTATATTACAATTTACAACACAAAATCGAGATTATCATTTTAAATCATAACAATTTTATCTTAAAACCATTAAAATTAAACAAAATAAACTGTCAATCTTAGCAACTTTTGCGATTTAAGACAAAAAAATTATTAACAACATAAGCTAAAATTTTATAGCTTTGTACCTTTATAACCTTTATTATATATGTAAGTGTTTTCAATTATATACAACTTGTTTTTATCGTTTCCTTTATTATATTTCAAATTTTAAATTATTTTATATTTAAAAATTCACCGGGGTGAGTGTGAGAGACTGCACCAACAAAATTATGTATACAAGTTAATACAAATATAAAAGCATTGAAATTTTTTTTATATAATCAACTTCATTATCATTGTTTTTTTTCAATGAGTGCCTCGAAGTGTTGTTTCCATATGTGAATGGAATAAGAGAATGGTAGACGGGAATTACCAATATTGACTATTGGGTGGGGGTACAAATTAATTATGGTTTTACAAATTAGGATGTACAACTTAAGTTATTTTACTCGATAAAATAAACCATTTGGTAATAGTGGAAAAGCTCTTAAGATTTTGGGTAAAGGGTTGTTATATGAAAAGGGATACATTTATACAAGCAAGCAATAACCATCGCCCCTTTTGCCAAAGAAAGAAAAAAAAAAAAAACCATCGCTCCTATTTTTTTGGTAGTCCATATTTCTCTCTTTCTTTTCTTGCCATGCTTTTAGGTTTTTTTGTTTTAAAATGATATCATATAGTAACATTTTTAAATAATTTAACTATTTGATAATTAGATTTAAGAGAATTGTGTTTGTACTTGTGTTTCCTAAATTAGAATTTTAACGAAAGCCACTATTCAACCATCGACATCTATATGTGTTACTATAAGTAAGTTGATGCGTAATTACATGTGAAACATCAACATTTGGCATGTTTAACAGAGACATGTATCAAAAGTTGTCAAACAGAGCACAGACTTTGACCGGGTCAATGATCAGTGAGACCAAATTAAATTTAGGAAATTGAATAATTCCTGATTTAATCGTATTTATTGTACTTTTCTTTATCTGTAGATTGTAATGTATTTATGGTCAACATTCACCAAACGCAAAGAATTCCAAGGTGTGTTATTTATTCTGTAATCTGTTTGCATAGCATTTAGATAGTTACATCAAAGATACCTTGTCGTTATTTATAAATAAATATATATATATATATTATTCTAGATCAAAATTAATTTTCTAAACTCATATTTTTTTGGTATTTTAGCTGTTTAAGATATATTTATTACCAAGTAAATTAGTACAATAATTCTCTAACTTGGACTTACAGATAGAAAAACAAATAATAAAAAGTATCTATATTCAGATTTATATTTTATCCAGAAATTTATTATGTTAGTGCTTTATGGATAAATTAGAGGTGGTTGTGTACTTGTTGAGGTCGTTGTCGTACTGTTTCATAGCTGTTGTCTACTTACCTATATTTGCCTCTCCAAAGACCAAATCTTGAAGCGAGATCCCGAGATCTAAATCTTCACGTACTTTCACATGTTTGATATATTAACCGAAGTAATTTTAAGCTTATAACACTGATACGGTTTCTATTATATACAGTTTCTGCACATTGATGGATGTTAAATTTATCAAGGGTACCTTTAATATGATATAAGTAAAGATATATGTTGTGATTGTGGGAAAATATCCATCATGATTCATGGATATAGTGTAGATATAACCATCCATCGTATATTTTCATGTTGCTGGGATAGTTAACTTCTAAAATTGTAATTCGTTGAATTTTTTATCGTATGTTTTTCATCATATCATAAGTTATGGTGCATTTCATCATATCATAAGTTATAGTGCACCTTGTAGAGCAACTATAGTTCGAACATTTTCATAACGAGTTTAATCATCATCACATCAAAAAATCTGATCTTTAGAGACTAGTATCGTTATTTTTATATTGAGAAAAGGATTTAAAACAACATCACAACACGATAAATTTTAACAAATAATATTAGGTTACATCTGAATCGGGCCATAAACTTTACATTTGTGGCACGTCAGAGCTATCAAATCCGTCACCTAACTATATCGTTTCATTAGGTTGCTTAATTATTTTACGTTTCATATGTTTTCTCTCTAAACAATACAAAAGGGTGAAATATTTCATATAAATTGTACAAGTATCCATACTAAAAACTAGAAACAAATAATAGCGAAGTTATTTGGAAGTTGGAACAATGATAATTACTTATAACGAAAATGAAAACATATACGAAACCAATACATACAAAAAAACGGTGGATGTAGGACAGTGTTCATAAAAATATCGTGACATATGAGAAAAGATTTTAGATTGATTAGACCCTCACTTTTTCAAATCACAATTTAAATACATTTAACATAACTCATGACACTGTTACGGTGGTACCTTTTTACGGTCCCCTGAAAATTATTAGTTAATACAAACACTAGTTGACATTGACATTTTTATTGCTTTCTAGCTTTTAATCAAAACTAATCATAAATATATATATATATATAATAATATATATAATCGTCACATAATAACCGCATAGCATAGAGTGCACAACCTAAATAAGTCAAAATTGAATCAATACAAATCAATTTGGAAAACAATAACCATTAAAATCCGAACGGTATTCATTTGAATTTCCTTTTTATCAAATGAAATATTGTAAACCAGAAACCTTACTAAGTTTTTTTTTTTTTTTGAGGAAAGAAACCTTACTAAGTTCCTTATCAAATTATCCCCACTGTTAAAGTATAGAACACACATAAATGAAGAATTTCCATCGTTTTATTAAAGACGATGTTCATAATATATAAAGATAAAAACATAGAAATGAAACTCATAATTGTTTGATCACAACATTTGGTCCAATAGTTTGTATTGATCTATTGTTGTGTTAATATCCAAATTAACACTCGAGTAATGCATATCGTTGAAAAAACCTCATAATTAAGTTTGGCTAACATTTTCATAAACATTTACGTGATTTAAGTATATTTCGTATTTCCCTTTTCGAAAGAATGTCTAAGCTGTTACCCACGGTTAAGCAACAATTATATAAATTTCAAACAAACAATATTCCTTCCACTCATAAGAATATTTCATTTTGTCCGTTAGGTTTTTGTTGGTTTCTTCGCTGGTTTTATTCCTTGACATCCAATCACTCGCTGAGAACCCACACTTGATATCATAATATCTAAATTTATAGAATAATAAGTACATTAAGATTATACAATATCTACCTTTTTCTGATATGATTTAGTGTATACGAGTTGCGACTACAAGCTAGCTAAATGAAAAAATGTGTTTTGTGTATTGACAAAAGGTGAAAACTAAGAAAGGGGTTATTTATTTTATTTAAGTTTTCGATAAAATACGACTAATGTGTATGCTAGCTTTAGCTTGTTAGCTGAGAAACAAATCATTTTGGGCCAATTCAAATTAATTTTTACATGGCAGATATATACTTCATGTATTAAATTCAGATTTTACTGAATGATCACATCTTTTGTATAATAAAATTATAATTTGTTCTGCACATGTTATAATTTAAAATTTTAAATACCAACATAAAATCTTCAATTTACGAGTAAAAATAAACCTGTATTAAAATTCTCACGTAGGATATGAGAATGAGTTGGTATAAAGTATAAACAGATAAACTATACTGTATGATCTATGATAATTGATAATGATATCAATGATGTATGATCGACATGCATGAGATGGTATATGGTCGATTATATATTATGTCTAGTATATTGTGTGTACTACATTTATGAATATTGATAATAGTATAGACATAAAAAATATAAAAATACATACTTCACAAATACATTAAAATTACATATTTCTCAAATAAACATTTTTTTAAACTATCCATCTATAAAAAAAAATTAGAAATTCTAAAAAATTTCAAGCTGCACTTTTTAGTAGTTTGCCAATTCCCAACAAGTTTGGTACTATTATTTTTATGATTTTAACAAAGCGATTAGCCACCAGTAATAAAAAATACAAGATTTATCTATCGCTCCTTTTTTTTGTTTTACTTATGTTTTCATCCAAGAATATTATTAGTTGTAGCAGACTAGACATAATAAACCGTTGTCGACTGGACCACTTTTTATTATTCATTTCTTCATTGGTGCGGATGACATACACATATACAATAAAAAATATATATATATATGTTAGGGACAATAGTGGACCAGTTTTATGAAGGAAAGAAAACCTTGTTCCAAAACGAATTGTTGATTGTTGTCCGCTTCAAAAAACAGAGCGATTAATCCGTAAATAGTTTAGTCCGTTCCGTTCATCACAACTATTCAAACCCCAACATGTACAATCCAAACAATACTTTTAAATGATATGAAACAACATTTGAAGTTAATCTTAGTTTGATTACTTTTTTATATATACATAGACTGATACACTAAACAAACCAAGATTAATATACATTCGAAGTTTTCGTGAATATGATACCAATCCTACTATGGCATTCAAACAAGCAGCATTAAACAAAAAGAGCGAATTCAATGAAGAAGGGTGTGTGTGATTGGTCAAATGTGGTCCTGTTCCAGACAAAGAGACATGCCACGTGGCATCTGTATTTCAGGAAATTGGACCGTTGACTGTTCTTGCAATATTTTGTCTGGATTTATATACGAAGCACACGATCCAATGCAATTGACAAAATGCTCCTGTCTTTCAAGTAAACGAAGAACGATTTGTCAAAAAAATCCTTAAGAAACGGGTTTTATCGTTGGAGAGACCACATCTCGATCCGACCCGACACGACGCAAAACCCGATTCTCGAAGGCTGAAATAACTGAATGAGTGGGCTTTATACGGCCTTATAAGTAAATCAAAGATTTGTCTTCGAACACGTTGCCTCACACGTGCCGTTAAAGACTCGAATGTACAACCTCAACAATGTCCACGTGTAATTACGTGCAACAGATAAAAATTCTCTCCGACGCCAAATTTTCACTCCTTCCTTTCACAAACGAATTTGACCAAGGCGAATTCAAAAACGCTTTAACTGCTTTTTGATCAAGCGAGCAAAGATGTTGCGGTTGCTGCTGCTGCGGCGGGTAATATGGAATCCAGCGGCGGAGAAAGTACGTTTGAGCAGCAGCTTAAGCGGCGACGGAGATTTTCCGATCCTAAAAGGTCACAAAGCGGCTCAAGACTTGTCCAAAGATACTCTAAAGTCCCATGAAGCAACCAAAGACAAAGAAGGTATGAATAATAAACCAAGAAAATATGGGAACTTTTTTTGGGTAACAAACTATAAAAAGTTCAAATATGCAATTATTTTATCGAATTCCGTCGATGATATCCGTTGATTTTCTAACAGGCCAACACAAAGTGGTTAGAAAAGAGTTCAAGATTTACAGATGGAACCCTGACAATCCAAACACTAAACCATTTCTTCAATCTTTCTTCGTCGATCTTTCCACTTGTGGTCCCATGGTAGTTAACTACACTATATTGTTGATTAATAATTAGTTTCGTAATATTAGAATTGACCTCGAAGAGCTTTGATTCCTAACTAACATGATGTGTTGCATTAGGTTTTGGACGTTTTGCAGAAGATAAAAGCAGAGGAAGATGCGAGTTTGAGTTATAGAAGATCATGCAGAGAAGGAATATGTGGATCTTGCTCGATGAACATCGACGGTACTAATACCGTCGCGTGTCTTAAACCTATAAATTCCGACACTTCGAAACCCACCATAATCACTCCCTTACCTCACATGTACGTCATCAAAGATTTAGTCATGGACCTCACTAATTTTTACCAACAATACAAGTAAGTGACGCTACCTTCTTTACATCCCTTATTAATTTCTGACTTCATTTTATATTCTGGACTCCGTTTGGTAATATATTTGTTCGATATTTTTGACGTAAAAAATGTGGAAAATAAATAGCGTACGCAAATTGGAATGGCACACTCATTTAAGCTGAAAAACTTGATTCAAAGTGAAAACTCTCGGAAAAAAAAAATATTCATCTGATTTTGGGTGCAAATCACAAAATGTCTGAATATGAATCTTGATTTCATGGAGTTCTGTGATTAGTTAAATTTTTGGAGACTTGTCGAACTATTCCCTTATTATGCGTCTTTCCAATCATAGTCTTTATATTATTTTTTCTACTAAATAAAATCCATCTATCTCTGATTTTTGTTACTAAGTTAACGTAGCGTATCCTGATGGCTGGACATATAAATAATGATGTTGAATAGTTGTGATTAGATGAATTTTACGGAAATGTAGAACTATTCTGCTTGTCACCAACCGTAGAATCAAAGTAGATACAGTTTTATCCCCAATGTAAACTTGATGCATGTTATTGGATTGTGTTGTTCGCTTGAAAACTAAAGATCAATCGAGCCATGGTTAAAGACAAGGAAGCCGCCAAAAGACGGACGTGAACACCGACAATCACCAAAGGACCGGAAGAAGCTAGACGGGTTGTACGAGTGCATATTGTGCGCGTGTTGTACCACATCATGTCCTTCTTACTGGTGGAACCCCGAGGAGTTTCCAGGACCCGCTGCTTTACTACAGGCCTACCGTTGGATCAGCGACAGGTAAAAAGTATAAAAATCGAAGATCAACGGTTTTAGTTGATGTCGGATCTTTAAAATCGGGTTTTTTTTTTTTTTTTTTTTTGTGGTTTAACGCAGCCGTGATGAGTTTAGACAAGAGAGGTTACAAGCGATAACAGAGGATGAAAAGAAAGTGTATAGATGCAGAGCAATCAAGAACTGTACGGCTTGTTGTCCTAAAGGACTTGACCCAGCTAGTGCCATCTTAAAGATGAAGGCTAAGCATTTGCTCTCTGATCCGGTCGAGAGAACCGTGAGTGCCTAGCCACACCATGGCTTGGTCCGGTTATATATGTACTGTAAAAGCTTCTCTCTCCTGGCAAGGCAATATGATATTAATGTTTGAACACGTGTCTTTCTACTCTTTTTTTATTGATATAACGTTTTAGAAAGAAAAGATCATCAAACACGTACATAAAAGGAAAATACGTGCTTTCCACAAAATCATCTAAAATTGGAATCAATTTCGAGAAAAACACGGATTAATTTACGGACAAATCGCCCACCTTCTTTCTAAAAATATTCTTACACGACCGAGTCAGCAGGCAACAACCATCGAAAAATAAAATAAAAAAATAACCAAAAAAAAAGTAAGAGCTGACAAGAAAGAAAAAAAAAAGAAAAACAGAATAGAAGGTGATGAATTAACCACTAGTGAATTGGCATCAATTTTCAAACTCACCACCAACTCATTAATTGACATCGAATAACAAATAAACATTTCCAGTCCTTAAAAAAAAATTCACCTAATCGCACTTTCCTTATTCATTATCGTAGTTAATCCAAAAACCATAATGACACAAAATATTAAATTTATGACACCAATACAAAACACGAAACGGAAGATTCTTCGTTCCTCTTTACCGTCCGGCCGAGAAAAGCCTAATCACATCTTTCTCCTCTGTTCTTCCTTTTAAAAGATGATAAAATCTTTCTCTTCTCCTCGCCAATGATCTGATCTCTGGTTTTAATTTTCCTCTTTCCTTTTTTCTTTCTCTTCTTAAAATCTCTTGATTTGTTCATTTGGAGGGAGAGGATTTCAAAAAAGTCTCAGGCCGGTTCTTGGGATGGAGGAGAACACGGCGGCAGCGGCGGAGAGAAGATCCGGTTGTGGTTTATTGAGCGTAATGTTCGGTAGACGTGGATTGTGGTCCAAGAAACCTACCTCAACCGATAACGGTAGCCAGAAAAGCACATCCACGGCTGCGACCCCAACCAGCAACATTCAGTTCACCAAATCTCCTGGTGCAGAGCTAAAGAAACCTCGAGATGACCAGAGGGTTTCCGCCGAACCGATCCATAACCAAAATCAGAATCAGAGATCGGTACTCGTCCCATCAAAACCCTCGTCGAACCAATACCCTAATAACCATCAGTTAGGGAGCTACGAGAATCATCAGCAACAACATCAGCAACAACATCAGCAACGCAGTAGTTATAAAAACAATAGTAGTAGCGTTGATCCATACAGAGGAGGACAGAGGAAAGTGCCGAGAGAAGCCATCGGTTTATCGGGAGAGCTTGAAAGCATGATCACCGACCATCAGAAATCAAGAGGACCCAATGGATTGGTTCGTGCTTCCTCTAGCAATGTGATGTTATATGGAAGTCTTGGCAATTTGAACCAGTCAGGACCACCAGCAAACTACGGTAATGTCAACACTCAGAGTTACGGTGGAGGAGGAGGGTATGGTGCGAAGAGGACGACGACCGTGGCTGCAGCGTCCAAGAGTAATCAAGAACAATCAGGATCTTTGTGTAGAGCAATCTCAACAAGAATGGATCCAGAGACTTTGAAGATAATGGGGAACGAAGATTACAAGAATGGGAATTTCGCAGAGGCGTTAGCTTTGTATGATGCAGCGATTGCGATTGATCCGAATAAAGCTGCGTACCGTAGCAACAAGAGCGCGGCTTTGACTGCACTAGGGAGAATTCTTGATGCGGTTTTCGAATGCAGAGAAGCAATCAGAATAGAGCCTCATTACCATAGGGCACATCATCGGTTGGGTAACTTGTACCTCAGGTAATCTATAAAATGCCTCACTAATAATCAAATTAATAATATACCTATTTATTTTTTTCAAAAAAAGATTGTCTCACAATTTCGATAGGTTAGGAGAAGTCGAGAAATCGATGTATCATTTCAAGCATTCGGGTCCAGAGGCCGATCCTGAAGACATTGCAAAGGCGAAAACCGTACAGACAAATCTAAGCAAGTGCACAGAAGCTAAGAGACTACGAGATTGGAATGGTTTGATTACAGAGACGACCAACACAATCGCTTCAGGAGCTGATGCTGCTCCACAGGTGTATGCGTTGCAAGCAGAAGCATTGTTGAAAACGCATAAACACCAAGATGCCGATGATGCTTTGTCTAGATGTCCGGTTTTCGATGTGGAAACCAGTACTCGGTACTATGGACCGGTCGGTTATGCTGGTTTCTTGGTCGTCCGTGCTCAGGTTCACTTGGCCTCTGGCAGGTTCGTTTTTATTTCTTCTTCTTCCTCACAATTCTAGGTTTTATCATATTACCCAAGTGTAGAGTTTGTACCGGTCTCAAATTTGAGAGTCCCGGTTTTATATCACAATTCTTTGCTTATTTATTTATTTATTTTTTTTAAATTAAAAAGTCCGGTATCTAGTAGGTGTACATTGATCAGATTTGACACATACAGGCTTTTGTTACAAATAGTGACAATCCGGTATAGAGTATGTACCGGTCATAAATTTGAAATCCCGGTTGATATTTTGCTAGTATTGTTATAATCCGGTATGTTGAATATATGCATCCTTCAATTCCGGTTTAACATTTGAATTTATCAGATTCGACGAGGCGGTGGAGGCGATCCAACGCGCCGGGAAGCTGGACGGGAATAACAGGGAGGTGAATATGGTGTTACGGCGGGCTCAGGCGGTGACGGAAGCTCGTTTCAGAGGGAACGAGCTATTTAAAGCCGGGCGGTTCGAAGAGGCGTGCGCCGCCTACGGCGAGGGATTAGACCACGATCCGCGAAACTCCGTTTTGCTCTGCAATCGCGCCGCTTGCCGTTCAAAATTGGGTCAATTCGAGAAATCTGTTGAGGATTGCTCGGCGGCGATCTCTGTCCGGCCGCGTTACCGCAAAGCTCGCCTGAGAAGAGCCGATTGTAACGCCAAGGTAACTACAAAAAACCTAAGGTCAATTTGGAGAAGAATACTAAAGTTGGGGGCTTTAGAATAATTAGAAATAATTAACTGGTGTTTGTGTGGTGGTGGTGCAGATGCGAAAGTGGGAATTGGTACAGGCAGACTACGAGGAATTGAGAAAAGAGACGCCTGACGATGAGGAAGTGATCAGAGGATTATCGGAGGCACAACAACAACTCATGAAACGTCGTGGCCAAGATTCTTGAGATTTTCCGGTGATTAAAAAACCACCGTGATGAGTAATATGGGCTGAGAAAATGACTAGCGCTAGAAAATTCATTGTTTGAATTTCTTTTTGGGCCGGCGACTGACACCTAAATGACAAAAATTGTGTGATTCTTTCAAATTAAATATATTAAATATTTTTTGGGTGATTAAAATGTTTGTATAGAAATGAGATTGTGGTGATGCTGTATTAAACCCCCATAAAAAAAAGTACAAATTTTCCATGGTAAAAAAAAAAAAAAACCTCAAAATTTATAAAATCGGGCCTTCAATAGAGGTGTTAGTGCAGATTAGCCCGCTTAATTTGGCACGCTTAGTTTGTAGGTCGATTATGCGTATTTTAAATTCAAAGTATTAATGTATGAACAAACAAAATTTGTAATTCAATTGTCGTCACTTTCTTACAAATATTTACGAAAATATTTATTTATCAACTGCCTTTATAGCTATTTAATTATCAGTTGACTTTATAATTATTTATCTATTAAGAAAGCATCGCTGTCTTTATAAGTCAGATTATATTAGCCATATTATGTTAGTCAGGTTTTCTTTTAATGTGTCAGGCTTTTGAACCCGCATATAGACCGTGCGATCCAGACCAAAATGATCTTCAATCGGCGATAAACTAATTTGTGAAACCAGCCTTTTATGACGTAACCCAAACCCGTTCTATATTATAGCCAAATGGTTTACACTTGTCCTCCCACGAGTTTCTAACCCGAATTGGAACCCTAGCTGTCACGCGGTAAGAGATCTTCATACATAAATTATTCGATTTTATCATTTTATGACCACCCCAAGGAAAAATAAAAAATCACTCAAATGTCAAGCATAATAATACAACAATAACACATTTGCTTTCATTCTCTTTAAGAAAAAAAAAAAGAACACACGAAAACTCAATCACACTAAAACATGATCACATCATGTTTCATTGACCCCAAAAATATATATATTTTTTTAAATTGATCCTATGTTCACATCGTGGGAAGAACGAATCGCCGATTCTTGACAAAGTCCGAACACTGATTCCTAATCACCGACAGCTCATACGGCGAAGCATCACGAGCCAACCATTGCTCCACCGTGAACTTCTCCTGAGAACAACTTCTCCGTCGACGATTCTCACTCATCGTCACTTCCACGTAATTACAATACCAACCGTGATGATCGCCAGAGCCGTCAGATGTCAAATTCATCGCACAAACCGGACCCGAGAGACAAGAACCTAAACCGGTGAAAATGTCGAGATTACCCCTTTCGAAATAATCGTGAAACGGACCCATTAAACCTCCCCATGACACCAAATCGGAGATAACGGCGTCTCGGCCGTAACTGTCGTATAGACGGAGACTCATGATGGAGTCAGTACCGGCTTTCCAAACCGTACCGGTTCTTATATAAACCGTGAACACGCACATGTCATCATCATTGTCCAACTAGTTAAACAATATTACTAATCATAAACTGTAACGATTGATTTGTAATATATGATTTGTGTGTGCATTTGCAAGGAAGTGACTTACGGCGAGAGCGACGGCGGAGAGGAGGAGGAGCAGGGGGAGGACGGTGGAGCTGCCGCGTAACATCGTCGTCTAATAGAACTCTTATTGGTTAGTAGAGCCAAATTGTGTGAAATCGAGGAATGCTGAAATTTTGAAATGTATTGTAATAGTGTTCCCTTACGCGAACACTATTAGTTTCTGGTTATAATATATATCTTGTTTGTCGCTTGAGAGATTAATATTAGAGAACAATCACTAAAATGACCTTACAATTAGGTTTGTTTGCAAAACTAACCTAGGTTCTTTACATTTTTGCTAGAATAACCTTACAAGCGTGGAAAAGACATCCTTATCCCTCACAAATAAAAATTTGGATTTTTTTTTATGTATTATAAATTCGTAGTTCACAAATATAGTAAATATACAGTGATAAATATACAATAAATTATAACTTTCTTCTTCCAAATAAATGTAGAACAAAAAAAAACTTTTCAGTTTCCCGAAAAAAACTGAAAACCGAAACCCTAGAGGCGATTCGCGGCCTTCTCTTCATCTTCAATTCGGTTGCAAACGAAGACAACGGCTTAGACGAGACGACGACGACCTAGAAACCCAGTTTTCCGGTGTTTCCTTGTTCTCTGCTTCATCGGCGTTAGTCGTCGGCTTGGTCTGCGTCTCTGGTAAGTATTTTTTATGTCTTCGTTTTGCTGAAATCTTTGGTTTGTTTCGTTTTTTGATTCGCGTTCGTTCACCGTCGGATGTGTCGGCGAGAGGAGGCACCGGCGAAGTCTTGTGCAAACTGTCTAACCCTAAATTTGTTTTCCGGTGCAGGAATTAGTTGGTCCGCGGTGGTTTCCTCAAAAACTACGGTTCGTCGAATTTTTTTTCCCGGTGAGTTTTTTGAAGGAATTTTACAGGCATATTTGGTAGACTACTAAAAGATAAGTCTATTTCACTTATGTTATGGTCGGGTAGAGTTGTTTGTTGTGACTCTTATAGATAGCATTGTGATAGAGTTGTTTGTGTGTCGTTTCAGGTTTAGATATAATTGTTTGTTTTGTTGACATGTAAAATTGTAATGGTTGTTTGATAGACTTGTTTTGTTGAGTGGTAGACTTGTTATTGGTATTAGGTAGACTTGTTATTAGTGTATGGTAGACTTGTTTTGTTGACTTGTAGAAATGTAATGGTTGTTTGGTAGACTTGTTTGTTGAATATAACCGTAGTTTATAGTAGACTTGTTATTGTGTCGAGTGGTAGACTTGTTATTGGTGTGAGGTAGACTTGTTATTGGTAGACTTGTTTTTGACGAATGTGGTAGTCTTGTTTTGTATTGTTATTGTTGTTGTTTTTTGTTGAGGTCGTATTGGTGTTGTTTTGTATTGGTGTTGTTTTTGTTGATTGGTAACCTTGTTCTTTTTTTTTTCTTCTTAGATGGCTTCAACTAGTGATTCGAAAGAATATCCCCCAAGATTGCATCAGCCTGGAAAATCTCCCTTACAGGAGCACAGCTTTAACTATGGCTGTCACCTGACTGATTTCGGCATGTTGAGAGAGAACATTGGCGATGATATATTTAATGATGTAATGAACAGATGTGCAATTGGATCAATTTTGAAGCTTGCAACTAGGGGATATGTTTGGAGTTCACACATGGTTCATCAGTTCATAGCCAAACAATTGGCCGTGGACAGGCAGTACGAGGTTTGGTCTTTGATTGGTGGTAGACCGTTGAGGTTTTCGTTGCACGAGTTCGCAGAAATTACGCGGTTCAACTGTGATCCAATTGTCGAAGATGGTTGGGACATTGATCACACTGAGTTTTGGGCTGAGATGGGTGTCAAAACCTTCGACGGTCCTAATTGGAATGAGTTGGATCGTGTCATAGATCGCTGTCAGACATGGAGTGAAGCGAAGAAGAAAATGGTTGCAAAGCTCCTTCTCCTGCATGTCGGAATATTTGGCCTCAACCGGAATAGTCGAGTGCCGTTGAAGTGCGCAAAACGAGTGTTGGATGAAGATGCTTTTGAGAGTTATCCGTGGGGGCGTCATGCTTTTAAGCATTTAGTAGAATCTATTACACTTACTTTATTCATGGATTTGTGCATGCGTATCTCATATGGGCGTATGAATCAGTACCTATTTTCGGTGAGAAGATTGGGAGAAGATGGCCCAGTCCCAATCCCAACGAGATTCCGTTACTGAGGTGGCATTCATCAA